TCTGAAGATTTTCTTAGAAGGCATGAAAGTCACCATCTTCTTACCTTCAGGGAGTGGTAACTACATCTGGTCCTATATTTCTGTCTCTTGGGAAAGCTTCATTCTGATACCTAGCAAGCAAGGAAAGAGTTCATGTCATTTAACAATTTTACTGACTGTGGATTTTATATATAGCAGAAATTGTTGCTGGAGATCAGTGGTTGTTTAATTTCTTTTTTTTTCTTTTTTAAAGATTTGTTTATTTATGCATACAAGAACTAGAGTACAGGCCAGAGGTGTGGGGTTGGGAGGGTGAGAGAATTCACCAGAGACAGAGTGGAGAAGAACAGCAGCCTGACTGAAATACACTGCTGAGGGGAGCAGTGGGCGAGACAGGAGGGGTCTGTTGTGCCATGTGGGTAGCTCGCTGGCTGACTGGGGCTCTAACTCGTGCTGTAGATAGTTTCATAGTGCTACGCTTAACCCCTTGCACCACCAAGGAGGCGCCGGTTATTTAATTTCTTAATTCATGAATTTTGGTTTCTGGATCTATTTAATCAAGATAGTGGGTGACAATGAAGGTCAAATCCTTTCATGACTTAACTTCCAGGGTAAAGCATCACTGATTCTGCCCTTTATCATTATTAGCATATGTATAGTAAGAAGTAGAGTAGGAGAAAGGAAGGAAGAGATGCAGGACAAGAGGAGAAGAAAGAGAAGGAGGAGGGGGCCTCCCCTGTGGCACAGCGGTTGAGAGCCGCACTGCGAAGCTGTCCGCAGCCTCTGCAGCGCCAGTTCAATTCCCCGCTGGCCAGGGAGAACCCCACATGGTGCAGCAGATCTCTCCTGCCGTGCCCGCTGCTCCCCTCAGCAATGACTTCAGTCTGTCTGCCTGTTCTGCTCCCCACTCTGTCTCTAGTGAATCCTCTCACCCTCCCGCACTTCTGACCTGTACCCCAGTTCTTGTATAAATAAATAAATAAATCTTTAAAATAAAAAAAAGAAAGAGAAGGAAGGGAAGGGAGAGGACAAGAGGTAGAGGGGGACTAGAGAGAGGAGCAAGAAGTTACAGCTGTCTTGCTATTAATTGCTACTAATTATAACTGTAATTATGTTAGTATTTGGGCCCAACCCATGTCTCATGAGCTGCTCACATCTAGTGGAAAGTCTGAGTGGGGCAAAAGAACGGTATGGAAATCCTACATTCTTCTAAGTACCTTGGCCTGAATTCTCTATATTTGAGGGTCATTAAATGTAAGTGGCCTCACCATTGTGAGCACTGTCCTTTACACAGTTTACCTAAAACTTTGGCTGTGAGCAAGAGCTGTAAGCATTCTCTGTACAGCCAAAACAAACTGCCAGAGGCCAGCAACATCTCTGGTCAGGAGTTCAGGAGAGATCTTGCCCAGCCCAGTCCCCCAGGCCAACTATGACACACCACACCTCACAGGAGTCTTGGGCAATGTGAATGATTTTGAAGAGACTTCAGGAGACAGAACAGATTTTAATGTCATAGGAAGGTTTGTGGAAGGAGTGATGAAAGTATGGTTTTAAGAATGTTAACCAATCACGCCAGCTGTCTATTTTGCAACTCTTACAAAATTTATTAGCTTCTTTTTTAAAAAAGATTTATTTATTTATGGGGTACAAGCCAGAGGTGTGGGGGGGGGTGGTGAGAGGATTCACCAGAGACAAGAGTGGGGAACAGAATAAGCAGATTGACTGAAATACACTGCTGAGGGGAGCAGCGGGCGAGACAGGAGAGGTCTGCCTCGCCGTGTGGGTAGCTCCCTGGTTGGGGATCGAAATCGTGTGGCAGAGGCGATGGACAGCTTCATAGGTTGCGCTTAACCCCTTGCACCACCAGGGAGGTCCCCAAAATTAATTAACTTCTTAACGAAGGAATAATAACTCAGAAAAGTTAGAGTTTTAGCAATCCCCTATAGCTGGATTTGTGCATATCCAACACTGTCCTATGCAATTGTGTGCACTCTGTCTATTATGTGGGGTACATGCTGCTGCAAAGAGGCCCTTTCCTGAGGGGCCCAGTTCTCTGCTTTTCATCCCCCCTTTCAGTCTCCGCATCTAAGTATGCTTTTCAGCCATTGAAATACTCGTAGTCCTTAGGACTCTGTCCTAGCCCATTTTCTTGTAACACCTAGCCTGAAATCCACTGACTCTGAGTCCATTGGTGGGTTTTGGGGGGAAGATCCACAACCCCACAGCACAGAATGTTACTTCACACTGACACAATAACTAGGCAGGGGCAGTTATTCTAGAAAGAAAGCCATACAACACATCTGATTTTGGAAGAGATTCTGATCCCACTTCCTATCCCCGGTAAGAACACTGATCACCTTGGCTTCAACTTCCCTTGATATAGACAAACCCTATTCTATTCCAGACACTTTCTTGAGACCTAGATGCCTATGGCCAAAGACTTTTTGGGAAACTCCCCTTGAAGACTCCATAAGTAACTCAGATTTACCAATCCAAAGCTAAATACATCCCCACCTCCCTCCCCACCCCCCATCTGCTCCTCCTCATGCATGTCTTATTTTAGTAAATGACACCACCATGGACCCTGCGGACCAAGCCAGAAACCTGGGCACTCTTTCTCCCCACATCCCATAAATCACTAGATCCTGTCTTCCGCAGGGTCTGAACTAGCTGTTGGAGCTAGTGTCTCAGCCCAATGTTGGGATGCATTAGCACAAACAGCACAACTGGAGCAGACTGCCTGAGTTGGCACCCTGCCAACAGGTACCTTTTAGTCAGTTACTTAACCTCTCTGTGTTTTTTTAGGTTTTTTCAAATCTTCAAAATGCAGAAAATAACACCATCATCCTTTCTGTGAATAGTGCGTACATATATATATGTGTGCGTGTGTGTGTATACCTACGAGACATTACAATTACTATTTTGTGCAATCAGAGTTCATTTACACTTGCTTACATATTAACCAGCATCTTTACTTTTCATTCCTTCTTGCATCTCAGATCTTTCATCTGAGATCATTTACTTTTTGCCCGAACTATTTCCTTTATTTCATTAAAAAAGGGTCTCGCCTAGTGACAAATTTAGGTTTTACTTCTGTCAGTGCCCAGGGCAAAATTCCCAATCTTTCTGGTCCTTTTCTAGCTGTTTCAAGTAATCAAAAATAGCATTGGGCAGTTGGCAGCAGGGTGGGGGGATTAATTTAATAACCTGTACATGGGAGCAACAATGATTATGTGGATCCCGTCCTGGATGTAGGGAGAAAGGAGTCTAAATCCTAAACGATGGGATGAGGCAAGGGGCCTACTGGGCACTAAGGAGAGAGGGAGAGGACTTCAAATGACAAGGAGCAGATGACATCCCCTTCACCCTAAAGATGTCTTTCTTAGATGGAAATGATCTCATAGTGGGTGGTGACTCCAGACCACAATCTTCTAGTACATTAAAAGGATCAGTGAGGGCCTTCCCTGGTGACACAGGCAGTTGAGGTGGTCTGCAGCTCTACAGCGCATGTTCGATCCTAGTCGGACAGCCAGCGAGATACCCACATGGAGCGGCAGACCTCTCCTGTCTCACCTGCTGCTCCCCTCAGCAGTGTTTTCAGCCAGTCTGCCTGTTCTGTTCCCCCGTCTATCTCTGGTGACTCCTCTCACCCTTCTGCCCATCTGGCCTGTACCCCGGTTCTTGTATGCATGAATAAATAAATCTTAAAAAAATAAATAAAAGGACCAGTGATCACTTCCTGGATTAGGTGTAGGGCAAAGGTTGTAGAGGACCAATGATAGCTTCCTGGATTAGGTGTAGAGCAAAGGTTGTAGAGCTTTTTCTTAGCTCCAGAGTTCTTCACTATTTTCAGCTCAAAAGAATCCTGCCAGAGTGGAGCATCTTGAGAGGGCCAACTCTGCCTATCTTAGGGTGGTCTGTTTTGAGCAACTTTCCTTGTCTGAAAATGTTTGCACAGACACAAACAGGCAATGGCTGGTTTATTAGGAAAAACAGAAAGGACAAAAGAGGAGCCTGAAGGGACAAAGGCAGGCAGAGAGCTGTGTTTTTCAGAATACCCCTACATAAGGGGTATTCTTATGTAGCATTCTTGTGGGTCTCAGGGGAGGATGTGTCCTTTGTGGAATTTTTTTTTATTGTGGAATCTATCACCTCTAAGATCTGGTTGAGTTAATTAGCAAGGATTGGGGTTTTTCTTTGTAATGACCGGCAATTCTCCATATCCCTACCACCCGTCTTTGCCTCCAGATCTTTGTTTTAACAACTCATTTAATCATTTCTGCCCTTACCTCTAGTTTCTGGCCTTGGGAAGCTGACATCCTATATTTTCTACTCTTCGCTTCCATCAGTGTGCCTCGTCAAAAAAAAAAAAAAAAAAAATTACATCAGAACAAGAGCTATACCTATTTCAATTAGGTTAGAGACATTTAGCTTAATTTTTTCGAAGCTTTGTATCCTTTCACTCACAGCCTTCAGTTGTAGACACCAAAAATCTGTATCTCATTTTATCTGGTTCCTTGACCTTTGATGGCAGATTGGGAAAAACAGGTTCTTACGTGGCTGCTTCGCAAAGCAGGATGGCTGTGCTCTGATTCAAAGTTCAAGGAGAGGATGTTCTGTCTGCTAGAACAGGCAGTGGCCTAGCAGAACATTCACAACTCTGATACATGTGTAGTTTATTTAAATCTTTTGCTATTTTTAGTTGTTATTATAAACAAATAATATATTCTAATTCATGTATTCTTTGTTCAATGTTTTGGAATTTGTCATCTGCTTTTACTGTTCAATTTCCCAAGCCATTCATGTGATAAATTTCTTGTCCTGTTAAGAAAAAAAAAATCTTTATACCATCTCTAAATGTTTATCATTACATAAGAGGTAAAGCACAAAATGTGAGTGTAATTCTTATGAGTTACTCAACTGGGTCTTCTGAGGACTTATCCTATCCAGGGCCATTATTTTTTTCCTCCACCCACTTGGACTTGAGCCCTTAATTTAAACAAGTATTTCTGTTTGTCGAACTATAAAGTCTGTGGTAGTGGAGGGATCTACCAGTGATCCCAGGAGCAGTTCTGAGATTCACAGGTTGACTTGATAGCCCTGCTTCACAGCCTCTGAGGCGCTCCTAGAATATAAAAGGATAAAAGACCTTTATCAGTGAAAGACCTTTTTGTAATTACTTTTTCTTGTCTTTCTTTTGCAGCTAATAAAAATTAGAAATATGACACATTAGTGGAATCTTTATTAGATTCCTTAACTTCATTAAGATTTAAGAGAATGACTTTATAAGTATCTAGAAAACTACTGCATTCAGACTTAAAAAAAATTATCATCTCCTTTGATGATAAATTTCTGTTCTAGTAGGTGCTGAGTATTTTCTGCTTGATTTGCCAGCAGGGCTGTTTAGTTGCTATAGTCTAGAAACGCTGCACTTTTGTCTTTCTGTATGATATCCAAAGGTTTGGTTACTGAGGCAGGTGACTCCTTATTCTTGGATCATATAATTTATATTGCTTCTAAACCATTTCTTCTTCTTTTTTTTTTTTTAACAGGGCTTGAAGCAGTAAAAGAAGTCAACAGATTCAAATAGAAATCTGGTGCCCAAGGCTGATCGGAACATTTACACTAAAGAGGTAGTGAGTGATTCCTCATAGGTCAATAGGCTGCTGAAACTAGCAATTTTACACCATCTCCTCATAGCATGGAAACAAGCAAAGCTGGAACAGTCAGGTATGTTGTTCCCTGTGCAACCTTCTTCTTCCCCAACCCAGGTGCTGCACCACAATACATTTGTAAGATTGCGCCTTAGGATTGAAAGGAGCTACTCATAGAAGTTGTTTGGCAGCCACTTCTCATAGTACAAGGCTTTGACAATGGCACTATTATGTAAAATGGTATTGAATTGGTGGTGATTTTTTAAATGAAATTATAATCCCATAATTTGACTGATCCACTCATGTGGTTCAGGAGAGGCGACGGTGAGGTTCAATTTACACACCAAAAGGGAGATAGGCTGATAGTCTGATCCAAAGTTTCTGCTTCCTGCCACTTAGTGATCTATTTGCATACCAATACTGAGAATATGGGGAAAGGGCGAAGCTCAAATGTAGCTTTTAGATGAACAGGACTTAGGTTTGAATTTCTGATTTGGCTGGGTGGCCTTGGACAAGGGACTTAATGTCTCTGAATCTTGGTTTCTTCAATAGTCAAATAAGCACATCTTATAGATGATGATGTTACCTAATTCCAAAAATCAGATTCCTGTGTCTGGTGGGCACTTAAAACTGTATCAATGAAATATCCATGCTTGGAGTAGAGAAGATGGAAGAAAAATTCTCGTATCCTTTGTGGTTGTGTTATCGGACAGGGAGAGGGGCTCAGTCTCTTCTGCTTCTTCTTTTCCTGCTCAGCTCCACCCTCCCTTGGGTGGGGCAGGGAACCTCCCCCTTTCCTGGGGACCACCCTGTTACAGTTGCAGTCAGTAGAGTTATACCTTATATAGAAAAACAGAGTGTGTGGGACAAGTAAGAGGAGGAAATGCAGGGAAACTTGTGGTTTTACAAGTTTTGATATAATCACAGCAAACAGATTCAGGTGCACCAGTAATGCCTTCTGAGTTGTATTTGCTAAGAATGAATTTTTTTTTTTTAAGATTATCCTGCTTGATAAAGATTTACATGGAATAATTTCCTTTATTATTTAACTGTTATTTATAGATACCTATGGGATGTCAGTTTTCATATTGACTGATTCATTTAATCATCATTTTTGTCTCTCATCATGTGTGATATCTTACTATTTTTTTTTAATTTATTTTTTTTAATTTTAATAATAAATTTTATTTTTATATTCCCCATACAATTGCAGCCCCCCCATTCTGACCCCAATCTCTCCCTCCCACCCCCGCCCCTTAAAAGTGTCTCTGGTTCGTAGTTTTTTGTTGATTTTGATTTTCACTTTCTTATAATTATTCGTTTTCCTGGTCCCTTATTTAAGTTTTCTAGATTCCTGCTATCAGTGAGACCATCCGGTATTTTTCTTTTCTTTTGGCTTATTTTGCTGAGCATGATCCCTTTCAGTGCCATCCATGTTGCTGCAAATTGCATGTGTTTATCTTTTTTGAATGCTGATTAATATTCCATGGTATATATGTACCACATCTTCTTGATCCAGTCATCTATTTTTGGGCATTTGGGTTGTTTCCAAAGCTTAGCTATTGTAAACAGTGCTGCTATAAAAATAGGGGTGCAGGTGTTCTTTGGAATTGATGTTTCTGTGTCCTTTGGGTAAATCCCTAGGAGTGGAATTGCTGGATCATATGGAAGCTCTATGTTTAGTAGGTCCAGAAATCTCCACACAGCTCTCCACAGTGGTTGGACCAGTTTGCACTCCCACCAACAGTGCAGAAGATTTCCTTTTTCTCCACACCCTCGCCAACATTTGTTGTTGCTAGTTTTTTTAATATGTGCCATTCTCACTGGTGTAAGATGGTATCTCATGGTAGTTTTGATTTGCATTTCCCTGATGACAAGTGATGTTGAACATTTTTTCATATGCCTGTTGACCATTTGCATTTCCTCTTCAGAGAAGTTTCTTTTTAGCTCTTCTGCCCATTTTTTGACTGGATTATTTTCTTTGTTGTTGTTGAGTCTCATCAGCTCTTTGCAGATTTTTGTGATCAGTCCTTTATCATTAGTGTTGTGTGCAAAAATGTTCTCCCAGTTGGTGGGGTTTCTCTTTGTTTTTGTTATTGTCTCTTTTGCTGTGCAGAAGCTCTTTAATTTGATGTAGTCCCAGCTGTTTATCTTTGCCTTCACTATCACTGCTTTGGGTGATGTGTCTGTAAAGATGTCTTTGATGTGCAAATCACGTAGTGTTTCGCCTATATTTCCTTCTATATATTTTATGGTTTCAGGTCTTATGTCTAGTTCTTTAATCCATTTTGAGTTGATTTTTGTGTATGGTGTGAGGTAGTGGTCAAGCTTCATTCTTTTGCATGTAGCGACCCAGTTTTCCCAGCACCATTTATTGAACAAACTTTCTTTGCTCCAATGCATAGTCTTTGCTCCTTTGTCAAAGATTAGTTGACCATAAATCTGTGGGTTTATTTCTGGATTTTCTATTTGATTCCATTGGTCTGTATGTCTGTTCTTGTTCCAATACCATGCAGTTTTGATGATTATGGCTTTGTAGTAGAGTTTGAAGTCTGGGAGTGTGATGCCTCCATTCCCTTCTTTTTTTTTCAGGAGAGCTTTGGCTATTCGGGGTTTTTTGTGATTCCATATGAATTTCATCAATAATTGTTCTATTTCTTTGAAGAATGACATTGAAATTTTGATTGGAATAGCATTGAATCTGTATATTGCTTTTGGGAAGAATGAATTTTTGAATCATCACATGAGGACTAGTTCTTTTTATATAGAAGTATGAAGACGTTTTTTCTTCAGATAACTGGAGTTTTATTTTATTTTTTTAAAGATTTATTTTATTTATGCATACAAGAACTGGGGTACAGGCCGGAGGTGTGGGGGGTGAGAGGATTCACCAGAGAGAGTGGGGAGCAGAACAGCCAGATCCACTGAAATACACTCCTTCACCAATGCACCTGTGCACCATCACCTCAGTCCCCTGTGCTCCTCCCTCCTTCCTTCTAATCCCTCTCCCTCCTCCTCCCCTGCAGGATGTCTCTGGTTTACAATTGTCTGTTTGCTTTTGTTTTGTTTTGTTGTGTTCTGTATTGTTATTTTTTCCCCTGATGTCTTATTTGGTTCCCCTATATTCCTGCTGTAAGTGAAACCACCTGATATTTTTCTTTTTCCTTCTGACTTATTTTACTGAACATAATAAAATGTAAAAATTTTAAATGGACTGCAGTAGGACTTCTTGACTTTAAAAATATGTATTATTTTTAAGAAATATTAAATTCAAGTAATTATTCTAGATTCTTCAATAGCTTCCCCAAAAATGAGGTTCAGAAAAGTCACTACATAGTTTTGCCAAACTGAGGTAGGTCCTACTGAAGGGTTTTGCACTCCTTGAAAAAAGACTTCAGCATTTTCAAAAAGAGATAACTACAAATATCTCATTTTTTATAATAAATTTTATTTTTATATTCCCCATACAATTGCAACTCCCTTATTTTGACCCCAATCCCTCCCCTCCCACCTTCTACCCCCCATAGAGTGTCTCTGGTTCATAGTTTTTTGTTGATTTTGATTTTCACTTTCTTATAGTTATTCATTTTCCTGGTCCCTTATTTAAGTTTTCTAGATTCCTGCTATCAGTGAGACCATCCGGTATTTTTCTTTTTCTTTCTGGCTTATTTCGCTGAGCATGATCCCTTCCAGCACCATCCATGTTGCTGCAAATTGCATGTGTTTATCTTTTTTGAATACTGAGTAATATTCCATGGTATATATGTACCACATCTTCTTGATCCAGTCATCTATTTTTGGGCATTTGGGTTGCTTCCAAAGCTTAGCTATTGTAAATAGTGCTGCTATAAACATAGGGGTGCAAGTGCTCTTTGGAATTGATGTTTCTGTGTCCTTTGGGTAAATACCTAGGAGTGGAATTGCTGGATCATATGGAAGCTCTATGTTTAGTAGGTCCAGAAATCTCCACACAGCTCTCCACAGTGGTTGGACCAGTTTGCACTCCCACCAACAGTGCAAAAGAGTTCCTTTTTCTCCACACCCTCGCCAACATTTGTTGTTGCTAGTTTTTTTAATATGTGCCATTCTCACTGGTGTAAGATGGTATCTCATGGTAGTTTTGATTTGCATTTCCCTGATGACAAGTGATGTTGAACATTTTTTCATATGCCTGTTGGCCATTTGCATTTCCTCTTCAGAGAAGTTTCTTTTTAGCTCTTCTGCCCATTTTTTGACTGGATTATTTTCTTTGTTGTTGTTGAGTCTCATCAGCTCTTTGCAGATTTTTGTGATCAGTCCTTTATCATTAGTGTTGTGTGCAAAAATGTTCTCCCAGTTGGTGGGGTTTCTCTTTGTTTTTGTTATTGTCTCTTTTGCTGTGCAGAAGCTCTTTAATTTGATGTAGTCCCAGCTGTTTATCTTTGCCTTCACTATCACTGCTTTGGGTGATGTGTCTGTAAAGATGTCTTTGATGTGCAAATCACGTAGTGTTTCGCCTATATTTCCTTCTATATATTTTATGGTTTCAGGTCTTATGTCTAGTTCTTTAATCCATTTTGAGTTGATTTTTGTGTATGGTGTGAGGTAGTGGTCAAGCTTCATTCTTTTGCATGTAGCAACCCAGTTTTCCCAGCACCATTTATTGAACAAACTTTCTTTGCTCCAATGCATAGTCTTTGCTCCTTTGTCAAAGATTAGTTGACCATAGATCTGAGGGTTTATTTCTGGATTTTCTATTCGATTCCATTGGTCTGTATGTCTGTTCTTGTTCCAATACCATGCAGTTTTGATGATTATGGCTTTGTAGTAGAGTTTGAAGTCTGGGAGTGTGATGCCTCCATTCCCTTCTTTTTTTTTCAGGAGAGCTTTGGCTATTCGGGGTTTTTTGTGATTCCATATGAATTTCATCAATAATTGTTCTATTTCTTTGAAGAATGACATTGAAATTTTGATTGGAATAGCATTGAATCGGTATATTGCTTTTGGTAGGATGGCCATTTTAATAATGTTTATTCTTCCAATCCATGAGCAGGGGATGTCTTTCCATTTCTTTGTGTCTTTTTCTATTTCTTTTAACAGTGTTTTATAATTTTCTCTGTATAGGTCTTTTACCTCTTTTGTTAGATTTATTCCCAAATATTTGATTTTTTTTGTTTCGATAATAAAAGGGATGTTTTTTTTTTATTTCTTCTTCTTCAGATTTATTGTTTGTGTATAGGAAGGCTACTGACTTTTGCGTGTTGATTTTGTATAGGATGAATTTTTTTAAGAAATTATCTTGATAGCAGGTAAATGGATATTTGGATCTTGGGATAAATTTTTTAGTGACATTATACTTAGAAGGGAACGAAAATTATGTACCCTGGAAAATTTGTAGATGATGTGAAAAGTGGCTCTAGTGATCATGAAGACACTGAGATCAAACTGCCCATAAACTGATTAGATAAAACTATTCCCTGAATTTTGAAAAAGAGAATTTCTAAATTAACATTTATATCACTTTATATGTACATTTGAAATATACTTTCAAATTGTTTGTTTTTAAAGATTTATTTATTTATACATACAAGAGCTAGAGTGTAGGCTAGAGGTGTGGGGCGGTGAGAGGATCCACCAGAGACAGAGTCGGGAGCAGAACAGGCATAATGACTGAAATACACTGCTGAGGGGAGCAGTGGGTGAGACAGGAGAGGTCTGCTGTGCCATGTGGGTTTCTCCTTGGCCAGCTGGGGGCAGGGGATAGGAGGGATCTTACTGTGCTGCAGTGACTGTGATAGCTTAATAGCACTGTCTTTAACCCCTGCACCCCCAGGGAGGCTCTACTTTCTAATCGTTATATATAGATACTTGAGTATTTCATCTACATTTCCCAAAAGTTTATATATTCAAATTGTCAAAAAAAAATCCACATTTTTTGGTCTGGAAAAATTGGCACTTTATAGTTGGGCATATTCTTGTAATTAATAAAGATTTTCACTAAAACAGAACTAATTAATTTGGACAAGTTAATTGATATGTATAATGTTATATATATTTGAATTTTCTCCCTAGGAATGAAAAAGTTGTGAACTGCTTATACCAAAACCCTGACGCGCTTTTTAGACTGATTTGCTTTCCCTGGTCAGGAGGCGGCTCAGTTTATTTTGCCAATTGGGGGCAAAAAATTCATAATTCGGTGGAAGGTATGTTAGTTTTCATCACCATCTAACCAACTTATAAGGTCAGATTTCATGCACATATAGGATTTTGAAGCATGGTAAAGATTTTTTATATTGATAGGTAATCAATAATAATAGGTATTAAAGATTGCTCTTTACAATAAAGTGATTTTTATAATTTTAAAGTTAGAATTTGTTACATTTATTTTGCTATTACTATTAGACCTAGAAAAATTTGTGTATATTGAACCATCATTGCTTCCCACGGATAAATCCTGCTTGCTAGAGGAGCCTGATTCTTTCAATGTGTTATCCTATTTCACATAAAATCTAAGTACCTTATAAATGCAAACTTCCATTCCCCTTCCTATACTTTTGCTGTTGTTGCCATACATTTTACTTCCAAGTAAATATTTACTGTTTTGTCTTAAATAGATCATATTTTTAACATTTTAAAATGAGTAAAACACCTTTGGGTAAGAACCAGCATCTTCCCATAAATTGTTAAAATGATCAACACAAAGGGAAAGAGGAGAGGCCCTTTCTATACATTTCCTAGGCCTTTTAGAAAACATGGAGTTTTTCCTTTAGTCACATACATACAAATCTACAAGAAGGATGATATGGTGACATGAAAGCAATGGGCACTGTTCACAAAGGAATGCCCCATACATGTGACCAAAGCTGGAAGAGTCTGTAATGTTTATCCAGCATGCAGTTGGCATTGTTTTAAACAAACCAGGGCAAGATTCTTTCCAAGAGAATTAATATCCATATTGAGCATATGGAGCACTCTAATTGCCAAGAAATCTTCATCTGTTCTTTCATTTCTTTGAGTTTCTTTATCATGGCAATTTTTTTTAAAGTTTTATTTATTTATGCATACAAGAGCTGGGGTACAGGCCAGATGTGGGGGAGGGTGAGAGGATTCACCAGGGACAGAGTGGGGAACAGAACAGGCAAACTGATGAAATACACTGCTGAGGGGAGCAGAGGGCGAGACAGGAGAGGTCTGCCTCGCCATGTGGGTTTCTCCCTGGCGGCCGGGGATGGAACTGGTGCTGTGGAGGCTGTGGATTGCTTCATAGTGCAGTGCTTAACCCCTTGTGCCACCAGGGAGGCCCTATCATGGCAATTTTGACGTCTGTATCTGATGAGAAGTAAAGTTCTTCCATGTCTGTGCTTGACTTCTGGCGCTCTTGCTCTCACTCTCTCTCATTCCCTTGAGGACTCAAGGTGCCAGTATTTTTACATCTCCCCATTATTACCTTTTTAAAGTTATCTGTTCAATTGTCTTGGGGCAGAGATTCTACATTTCCAGTAGATGGTGCTGTATGTTAGGGAAAGCTAATTACCTCTTTGAGGGCGAAGTTACCTCGTCTAGGGGTGAGAGATGGGCCAGGAGGAGTTAGTTAACCAGTGAATACTGTGTGTGGAGGTGTAGGTGCAGGGGCTGAGGGGGTGGGGAGACCGCTCTTGGCACTGACAGCCCTCTTCTCTGGAATTCAGACAAAGGTCTACAGTCTGTGGGTACAGCTTCAGTGCAATTTTGCACTGCTTATTGACATTGCAGTGATGTTTCACAGTATGCACTGAGGCCTCCAGGGAGGTGAGGGGTTGGGGGTGTCATATTTTTCAGTGCTTTATCTTCTTCACCAGGCACCCTTTCCACCTGGTTCACTCCCACACTATCACATACATCTCCCCACATGGATTAGACCCACATTAAACAGCTTTGCCCTCCCAGCTACTTCCTTGTGGGAACACAGCTATCAACCATGGATTGTGCCCAGGCTGTCCAGTGCCTCTCCCACACACCTTTGTTGTTTAGAGTTGAATTTCCTCTGTGTCATGGTCAGCATTGGTGTTGGATGTCCAGAGGTGTTCTAGTTCCATCCCCTGTTATGGGATCCTCGGAGCTCAGAGTCTGGACTTCTGTAGATTATTCTGCTAGGACCAAATACGGAGCGTCCTCTGATGCCATTTCTACACCTTCTTCCTCCCAGCCCCCCATCCCACCAGTCCCATTATTTATGGTTTTTTCCTGTGAGTTTCTTCTTAGTTTCTTATGCCTACTTTCCCATTTGTCCTTTTTTTAATTGACATGTAGACAGTCTTTGTATATGCCAGCCTCTTTGTATGTTTTGTGGTTTAAAATGTCTTTCTCACTTCTTTCTTTTTTATGTGTTGCCTTTTGAGTCACAAAAGTTTAAAATTTTAATTTAGTCAAGTTTATCACTCTTAAAGTTTGTACGTTTAAATGACTTGTTTTGAAGAGTCTCCCCTACCCCTAACTCACAAAGTTATTATTTATTTTCAACAATTTTTTTAAAGATTTATTTATTTATACATACAAGAACTGGGGTACAGGCCAAGTTTTGAGGGGTGAGAGGATTCACCAGAGACAAAGTGAGGAACAGAACAGGTAGATGACTGAAATACTCTGCTGAGGGGAGCAGTGGGCGAGCCAGGAGAGGTCTGCTGCGCCATGTGGGTCACCTCCCTGGCAGGGGATCAAACTTGTGCTGTAGCGGCTGCGGAGAGCTTCACCGCAGGTTGTGTCTTAACCCCTTGTACCACCAAGGAAGCCCTATTATCAACAATTCTTAAGCTTTTTTTTTTTTTAAAGATCTATTTATTTATTTATGCAAGCACTGGCTACAGTCAGAAACGCCGGAGGGTGAGAGAATCCACCAGAGCCAGAGTGGAGAGCAGAACAGGCAGACTGACGAAGTACACTGCTGAGGGGAGCAGCAGGTGGCAGGAGAGGTCTGCGCGCCATGTGGGACCCTCGCCGGTGGCCGGGGATCAAACTGGTGCTGCAGAGGCTGTGGGCAGCCTCGCAACCCAGTGCTCAACCGCTGCGCCACCCAGGAGGCCTTTAAGCATTTTTTCATCTGACTTTTACATAAGGTGTGAGCTAGATATCCAATTTTCTAAAAGTGATCTATAAATTCACCAAATTGACTTAGTAACATTCATTGAGAGGTTTATACGTCTCAGATTTTAAATGTCAGCTCAGTTATAAATTTGAGTTTCCTCTTATATGCAATCTTATTTCTGGTATCTCTCTTCTGTTCCATTGGTCTTTCTGCCTCTCTCCATGCCAATATCAAACTATTTTCATTATGAAAACATGGCAGTCTCGGAGTAATTGGAATTTCTCCTCAGTGCCTTCGTGGAAAAATGACCATGAGTCTATTTTGTTCAGGGCTACTGAATGATACTGGATTCTGGTTTTCTTTTTTGGAATGGTTTTGTCTTGTTTGGATATCATGGGAGTGATGGACTCATAAAGTGAGTGGGGAAGTTTTTCCTCCTTTTCTATTTTCTGGAAGAACTATAGAATTTATATAATTACTTCCTGAAGTGTTGAGAACATTGGCAAGGAAAGTAATTTGGATTTTGAGTTTTCTGAGTGCAACAATTTTAACTATAAATTCAGTGTAATTAATAGGACTATTCAAGTAACATGTACTTTTAAAATAATTAATAAACTTTATTTTAGTATGGGTTTAGATTTAAAGAATAATTGAGCAGATATTGCAGAGTTCCCATATATCCCCCCCTTCAGTTTTCCCTATTATTACCCTCTAGTATTAGCGTGGTATGCATGTTATAATTGATAAACCAGAATTGATACATTATTAACTACCTGATACAGTTTACATTAAGGTTCATTCTTTGTGTTGCTCAGTTTTATGAATTTTTGTCAACTGCAAAAAGACATGAATCCATTATTACATTTTTTAAAAGATTTATTTATTTATGTACACAAGAACTGGGATACAGGCCAGAGGTATGTGGGGGGAAGCGGTGAGAGGATTCACCTGAGACAGAGTGGGGAACAGAACAGGCAGACTGACTGAAATACACTGCTGAGGGGTGCAGTGGTCTAGTCAGGAGAGGTCTGCTGTGCCATGTGGATAGCTCCTTGGCAGGGGAATCCAACCCGTGCTGCAGTAGCTGCAGATAGCTTCATCGTGCCTTAACGATGTGCCACCAGAGACCCCATTATTATAATCTGATGCAGAATTAGTTTGTTACTCAAAAAGTCACCTGTGCTTTACCTATTCATCCCTCCACTCTCTATTCTGAAATCACTGGCACCTTTCTACTGTCTGTAGTTTTGCCTCTTCCAGAATGCCATATAGTTAGAATCACATAGAATGTCATACAGCTGGAATCACACATACATACATACATACATACATACATACATACATACATATGATTTCTACTTAGCAACATGCAGTTAAGTTTCTCCTCTACTTTTCAGTTTTTTAATGCCTTTCTTTTCATTGCTGAAAAATGTTTCATTCTATGAATACACCAGTTTAATTGTTCATTCAAGGAGGTCTTGATTACTTCTAATTTGGAGATGATATAATTAAAGATGCTATAAACAATGATGTGAAAGTTTTTGTTGCATGCGAGGGCTTCAGTTTTCACTCATTTGGGTAAATATCAAGGAGCACAACTGCTGAATTGTATAGTCAGTAAATTACTAGTTTTCAGATAAACTGCCTAAATGTTTTCCAAAATAACTGCACCATACTGCATTTTCACCACCCGTGGATGAGCATTCCTGTTGCTCTCCATCTGAGTCAGTATTTGATTATGCTAACATGCCATCTTCTTTGCTGCAGTGTTTGTTCAGCTCTTTTGCCCATGGACTGTTAGTTTTCTTATTAATGAGCTTTAAGAGTTCTTTGAATTTTGTCAGATGTGTTTTGCAATATTTACTTCCATTTGGTGGCTTTTTTTTTTTTCATTCTCTTAAAAGGCTCTGTAGCAAAACGGATGTTTTTAAATATTAATAAAATCCAACTTATTAATTTTTTCTTTCATAAATCATGCAGTTGTTAAATGTAAGAACTCATTGCGAAAAACAAGTTTACATAAATTTCTCCTATGTTATCGTCTAGAAGTGTTAAGGTTTTGTATTTGTGGTCCATTTGAGTCAGTTTTTGTGGAAGGTATATAAGGACTATGTCAAGATATTTATTTTTTGCATATAGATGTGTAATCTTTTTAATCAGAAAATTCTAAGCTTTTATTTCACCAGATTTGACTGTTACCATTTTTTTTTGTGTGTGAAATTATTCACATGTTGATACATATGCTCTTTTTTCATCACCATATCTTACTGTGTGCACCCATTAACTTGTGGTTCTCAATCTTCAGTGCATGCCATAAGACTTGCAGGAAGAGAATCTCGACTTGACGAACCTTTTGCAAATGACATGAACCAGGTACTTGATGAAATTGTTTGTGCTTTGCTGCCAATTCTCCAGGATAAACCATTTGCGTTTTTTGGCCACAGGTATTTATAATCTATTTTAAAAGATATTTGAGGATGTTTCTTTAATTATAAACCAGTGGTTAATGTTCTTTTAATTTTATGATACGCACACTTTTGTATTGGTTACATAACTTCATCACTGCTTGAAGGGATGATTGACTCAATACAGTTATCATTCTCCAACTAGAAAGTCAGACTGAAAGAAATTGTGCAACAGGGACCATAGAACCATAACTTCCAGGTGGTATGATTAATTGAAACTTTGCTTGAAGGAGTGTGAAAATCCTGGGCCTTTCTTGGCTTCTTCTCTTTAGAAAACAGGCTCAAGCTGATGGGTACTTATGACCAGTCACACTCTTACAATTGCCAGTTTGTATAGTAATTACACATTCTTTTCTTCTGGGCAAAAATGAAGACTTATAAAATCAGGACTCTAGCAGCAATTTATATTCCATTTTATTTTTAAAATTATATATATTATGTTTCTTAAACTAGAGTGTATAATTTTGAGGTTAGGTCATAAAGCCTGGATTACCTGCCTATTACTTGGTAGGTAAAATCCTCAGGTTTCTGAATTGATTTTCTCATCTACAAGGCTAACATACTAAGAGCCCCTACTAGTGAAGATTAAATGAATAATGATCATAAATGACTGGTGCATTGTCTAGAATACATTTTGGTTACTGAAAATGTAATATCTATGGATATAGTCAACAAAAATATAATATCTATGGATATAGATGTAATAAATAAAATGTAATATCTATGGATATAGTCAACAAAAAAATGAAAAATAAAAAGTATCCATCATCACATTACCCAAATAATAGCACTTCAAAGTTTCATGTGGTCCTAGAGCATTTTAACATGATGAGGTTCTATTTTATATGTTTACCTGCCTTTTCTTCCCCACTTATTACTCTGGGACATCTTTTATATTTTTACATGTACACTGCATCATGACTTGTTTTATTAATCTTCTTTTGTAGACTTAAGAGTTATTTTTTTCTTTTTCTGTTATAAACAACACATCAATGAACATTCTTGTAGAAAATTTAGGATGCATCCTTTAGAAATTTCTTAGGCTAAATTCCCAGAATTTCAGCTAAATGATATGCACAAAGTTCTTGATAGATATTTTCAAATTACTCACAATTTATACTCCATCAGCAGTGAATAAGGAACTAAATTTCCCCTTTCCCCCCCCTCAAATATATAAATACACATTTTCCAAATGTTTAATCTTTGGCAGTATTACCTATAAAGTTGGTCTACATAATGTCTATCAACTTTTTAGTGCCAGCTCTCCATTTTATACTTTTAAAAAACATTGAGAACCTCAATGAACTTTTTTAATATATATTTTGCATATATGTAATGCATCTGTCCATATTTACCATATTGAAAAACTAGGAAATTTTAAATATATTTAACTTACCTTAAAATAACATTAATAACCCAATTACATGCTGACATAAACATACATTTTTATGTAAAGGACTACTGTAGGGTAAGTCAATGATATCAGGCTTTTCTGCCCTCCCACCATTAGGATTGATGATGGATCCCTGCGGTCCTGAATGCATGCCTGATGGTAGACACCTGGAATAGGGTGTGGGCATATGTAGATGGGATTTACCTGGGCTCATACTGCGTTTATAAGGGTGGTGTCATGGGGACGCCAGCAACAGAACGAACAGGAGAGCAGAGAACCACAAGAAGAACCACAAGAGAAGCAGAGCAGAGAAGCAGAAGCAGAACCACTAGAGCAGCAGAGAACAAGGCCACCAGAGAAGGCCAGAGAGCCCAGATAGAGTGAAGGCTTGCTGGGGGCTGGGAGGCCTGCCAGCCTCCCTGCTCCCCAGCACCCCTCCTGCCATGTACCTGGTAAATCACAATAAAAGCCTGAAAAGCCACCGAGGGCTCCAGGACTCTCTCCTCCTTTACTCCGTCTGTTTGAATCATAGAGATCCTGCACTGTGCCCTTCCTGCCCCTTGCAACTGCTTAAAAAAAAAAAAAAAAAAAAGTGGCATTGTTTTTAAACCTTTGCAAATCTTTTAAATGAATGGATTGATAGAAAGCAGCTGGATTCTCATTTCTGCTTCTGTATTCAGACTGTTATATATCCCATGTCTAGTAGCTCCTGGAAAGCTCAACTATACACTCATAAGAGAATAAAAAGTCAAATAATATCTAGTATTATCCTAGAAATAACTTGAACCTCATGGGCTACCTGAAAGTGTCTCAGGAATTCCTGAATGTCCCTAGACCACACTTGGAGAACTGCTGATACTTAACTACCAAGGACATACTGAGATGAAATCTTCAAGGGAGAAAAGGAAAATTAAATTAATTTCAAGACACTATAGAAATCAGTACTAAATCTTAGACTGAATTATCTACGACATCTTGAAACACTTTATGCTGATATACATAATTGAAAATACACCTTTTACAAATAAATTGGAGTATTATTCAACCTTTGCTTTTCTTTTAACTATTTCATGACCATTCCTGTGCTTTCTATGATACTAGTTCTTATCAACTTTTGATGGATTAACAATGAGTATTCCTGAACTGTTACTTTTTTTCTTTCCCAAATTCAGTCTTGGATCCTATATTTCTTTTATGACTGCATTATACCTAAAAGAAAAATACAAGCTACAACCAGTACATCTCTTTGTGTCAAGTGCAGTTCCTCCTCATGTAAGTAAATTCATTCTCCTTAGGGAGGGGTGGGGGAGAGCAAGGAAATGGAGGGCATGTAGGGTGGTGGGCCAAGTTCTTATTTTCCTATGCAGTGAAGATGTAGAAATACTACTGGCTAGTGAAAAGTCCCTCAAATCTCTTTCACTGTGATTGCCTCTTCTTTTTGCTGAAATGCATTTTAACCATTCCCTGGTCATTGCCTACACTGTCCCTACCATCTTTGAACTGAAGAAAAAGCAAAACACTTTTTCTTTTATTGAGTCAGCTGAAAACTTAATCAACTCTTAGCTAATTCACTGGATTAGAGCCAGGAAAGAATGCTTGAATCACCAAAGGGGACAATGATGCCAAGATTTTAGACCCACCCTAAATTTTAAAGCTGCTCCTTGTCTCCCTGTACCTTTGATATTCCTTCCCTGTTTGGAGAAAGGCCCTGATTGACTGGAATTCCAAATCTAAAGGGCTATTTGGGTGGTATTATGACAGCAGAATTATGGATGACTTTTTCTCCCTGCCTTTAAAAAGACATAGGTCCTTCTGAAACTGTGGATTAAAGTTCACTTTCAAAACTTGATTTAATGACTGATAAGTAGCTTTCAGTTCATGAATAAGCAATATATGAAATAATGTTTCAAGCTAAAGGCCCTGAATGACAATAAGGAAGGTAAAATATTAACAGAAGAACAAATATACCAATACCTTCAAGATTCTGGAGGCACTCCCAAGTATATTCTTGAAGACAAGGAACTTCTCCAGCAGTATATGCCCAAACTGACGGCAGATGCGCACTTGCTTGCTAATTACACGTAAGTAACTAAGGCAAGTGGTTTGCTTTTTTGATAATTATCTATAGAAAATGTAGGTTGGCAGTTCTCTGAAGCTGCTTATACAGGAAATCAACACTGTAAGAGTTTGGTTCCATTTCTTTTGGGGTCACCTATATATTTTTATTGGCTTAGAGAGGAGCACAGAAATGCTATCAACGAAGTACGAATAGAGCCTAGTTGTCTAAAAAATAAACAGTTTGATATGCATGCTTCATCACTATTTGTGAGTAAATTAGTACCAAAACATTCTCACTTTCTTAGAGGGGTCTTTAGAAGCAGATCTCTACTTATTAAGAGAGGTGGTGAGCCAGGCGAGGAGGAGAGTTTTGCTTGTTTGTGAATTTTGTCCCAAAGCTCATCTGGTTCCATATCACCTGTCCATTCTTTTATCTTCTGAGATATTTGTAGTGATGCTTGATGGGTTCTGTTTAGACTTCCTGGAAAAGATTCCAAGATGGGGGTGGGGGGGGGCTTCCTAAGCCAACCAGCAATTCTGGAACACCATAGGGTATCAACTCAATTCTCACTACCTGGAGATAGCACCAGATTCCACAGCCTCACGACTTAGTCTCCCGTGGCAAGCCCAGGCTATTCCCTGTGCTTCTGATCAAACTACTATAAATCAGAGGTCCCCATGGCCCCCTCTCCTCAGGTTCAATTAATTTGCTAGAATGGTTCACAGAACTCAGGAAACCCATTTATTACCTAGGTCACTGATTTATTATAAGAAATATTATTCAGGAACAGCCATATGGAAGGGATGCATGGGGCAAGCCATGTTCTCCCGGGGCACCACTCCCCAAATCCCCTCGTGTTCAACAATCTAGAAGCTCTCCAAAGTCTCTCCTTTTGAGCTTTTGTGGAGGCTTCATTACATAGGCATGATTGATTGTTTAAATCACAGGCATTGGCAACTGAACTCAATCTCAAGCCCCTTTCCCCTCCCCAGAGGTCGATGGGTGGGACTGTAAATTCTAACCATTCTAATTAAATGTTGGTTCTGCTGGCAACTAGTCCTCATTCTGAGGTGCTTCCCAAAAGGTCAGGAACTGTGGATGAAGATCAAATATGCAAACAAACATATATTTTGGTCACCTAAATGTTAAAATATGTATTTTTTATAAATCACAGGGTCCTAACATTCTGTAAAGTGTAATGGCAGGAATGGCCACAGTGCAGTTTCTCTGATCCCATGCAGACTGGGTAAAGGAGGAGTCAGAGTCCTTAGTGGCATTTTGCAGGTCTTTTATTGGGATTCAGCGGGTACGTGGCAGGCAGGGGTGCTGGGGGGCTGGGAGGCTGGCAGTCCTCCCAGCCCCCAGCAAATCTTTACTCTAGCTGGGCTCTCTGGCGTTCTCTGCTTCCGCTTCGGGCTTCTTCTCTTTCGGCTTCTGCTGCTGCTGGCATCCCCGTGACGCCACCCTTAAAAGCACAGTCTTAGCCCAGGTGAATCCCATCTACCTATGCCCATACCCTACTCCAGGTGCCCGCCATCAGGCATGCATTCAGGACCGCAAGGATCCATCATCTATCCTGATGGCGGGAGGGCAGAAAAGCCTGACATTTTTCCTTACCCTACAAAAGCCTTCCTGAGAATTTAAACCTATGTGACTGTAGGGGCAGGAATGACACGGAGCAGGTTTTCTGATCCAGCAGATGGGGTAAAGGAGTGAGTCCTGGAGTCCTCGGTGGCTTTTCAGGCTGTTACTGGGATTTACCAGGTACACAGCAGGCAGGGGTGCTGTGGGGCCAGAAGGCTGGCAGGCCTCCCAGCCCCCAGCAAGCCTTCACTCTTTCTGGGCCCTCTGGCGTTCTCTCGCATTCTCTCTGCGTCTTTTCCTCTCATGGTACTGCTCTCTGCTGGTGTCCCCGTGATGCCACCCTTATAAGACCAGTCTCAGCCCAGGTGAATCCCATCTACGTATGCCCACACCCTACTCCAGGTGCCCGCCATCAGGCATGCATTCAGGACCGCAGGGATCCGTCATCTATCCTGATGGTGGGAGGGCAGAAAAGCCTGATACTTTCTCACTTACCCTACACTTGGGTTTATGCTTCTTTTATTTGCCCCACAAAGCCTGGAATAGGGCAAAGGGCCACCAAAGGCAGTGCCTTTAACTACACATTTACACAGCTACAAAAAGTGGGTTGGACTTGAAGCATTTTGAGACAATCCTGCTCATGTTTTACATGTCCCTCCATTTATGCCCACCTATTTCTAAGCCCACAGTTTCCTGGGTGCCTCGAGTCTATCCACACGTCTCTACTGTGACCTTAACATCTTTGTCCAAATGTTATTCGTATAGGTTTAGGCTGTCTGTGTTCCCAGCTTAACACATAATCAGACATCTCCCCTTCAATTGAAAAATAACCCACATTACTGTGGGCACTCACTAAAGTAATGTATGCAGAAGTTGGTTTTGAGACTATAATAAAGTAAAAATCAAAATCAACAGGCAGCCACAGACCAGAGACATTTTGTAGAGGAGGAGGAGAGTCCAGGGACGATGGTGATGGTGGACGGGTAAACAGGTGATGGGAATTTCACGGGGAAATCATACATTGTAAAAAATGAAGGATGAGGGCCTCCCCGGTGGCGCAGAGTTGAGCGCTGGGTTGCGAAGCTGCCCGCGGCCTCTGCGGCGCAGGTTCGATCCCCGGCTGCTCCCCGGCCACCGGAGGAGGGTCCCACATGGCGCGCAGACCTCTCCTGCCGCCCGCTGCTCCCCTCAGCAGTGTACTTCGGTCCTTCTGCCTGCTCTGCTCCCCGCTCTGGCTCTGGTGAATTCTCTCACCCTCCGGCGCTTCTGACTGTACCCAGTGCATGTATAAACAAACAAACAAACAAATAAAAATAAATACATGCCTCTTTAAAAAAAAATGAAGGATGATGTAATAAATATTAGAAAAAGTTAGTTATTAGTAATAAAACCTTACACGATAGTTCAACATGCTGTCTGCACTGTCTGCTTACCAGGCTCAACACCCTCTAGCTCTGGCTTATTGCCTGTGAGGCTGAGAGCAAGTTTTAGTAACAGTCGTGTCTCTGTCAGAGGAAAGGATAATAATAATTCCTCCAAGTGTTACAGAGAGGACTAAATGAGGTCAGGTTTAGGGGGCACTGTGGCCCAAAGTGTAAGCAATTTTTTTTTTAAGATTTATTTATTTATGCATACAGAACTGGGGTGCAGGCCAGAGGTATGGGGGGGTGAGAGGATTCACCAGAGACAGAGTGGGGAACAGAACAGACAGACTGACTGAAATACACTGCTGAGGGGAGCAGCGGGCATGTCAGGAGAGGTCTGCTGCGCCATGTGGGCCACTCCCTGGCCGGGGATCGAACTCGTGCTGCAGTGGCTGCAGTCAGCTTCATAAGTTGCATCTTTACCCCTTGTGCCACCAGGGAGGCCCCAAACCGTAAGCAATTTTTAAAAACAAACAACTCACTTCCAAAGGATCTTGATGTGACTTTGTTAAATTAAATTTTAAGTAATGTTCCAGGGTGTCCATCCGGGAGCCCCGGTTCAACAACAGAAATCAAGTAAGGATGCTCATTACTCACAGGTCTGGGTGGGTCCGCACACCTGGAGGGGCCACTTAGCATGTCAGGGCCGGGCAGGCAGCGAGAGCTTCAGGACCTGGGGTACCTGCCTTCATTTTGGTCCTCAGATGGACGAGGGAATTTGTTCCAGGGACTCAACTCCAAACAGCGAGTCCTTCGCCCTCTAGGGAAAGAATTCACCAGAGAGCGCTAGCGGTAGGTGAAGGAGACAAGGCATTTTTTTGTTTTTTAGAGCGACTCGTGCGTGAGGGACAGTTTGGGAAAAGAGAATATAAACTGGCTCTTTGAAGAGAATTAGGAAGAGATTGGTTGGGCTACACCTGGGCATGCACAGACAGGTTACACTCCCGCTCAGCCTCCCTCCAAGAAATCACTTGTCAGTCTCTAATTAATTCTTTTTATCGATCACAGCGCCTCATATTAGTTTGTGATCATTCTGTTCCATCTTTTCTTCTGCCTGTATAGCTTTGCCATTCACTGTGGGGACCTTGCTTGATACCCAACCCACTCCCACCATCAAGCGTTTGCAGGCGACCGTGAACTGGTAGCACTTACACATCTCTCTAGTCGCCTGATTATTTCATTAGTATGTTTCCCCAGTCTCTGAGCTGTGGGAGGAAGGGCGCTGTTGGTTTATCCACGTGTCCCTAGTGGCTATCACAGTCCCTAGCACCTAGTTCAATAAATGTTTGTTGCTGCTGTAATTAAACTGAGAATAGAATAGAAGCAACTCAAGGGCCCTGCTTGCATGAACCTGCTTTGGTCCTGTTCACAGCGACCCTCTGCCTGAATACAGAGAGCTAGAAAACAGAGAAGTAGTTGGTTTGGGGGGATGACAGAGGCACCTCGAGTAGGACTAGGGCCCAGGTGTTATCCTCCTGCACCCTGTACTGTTCCAGAAGCCAGAAGATCTTGAGAAATAGCCTGGACCATAGTGACGCTCAGGTTGTTACAAGGAGAAGCACCCTTCATGAAACATACTTACATTATAGATATTGCAAAGGGGAAAGAAGTGAGGGCATCCCATGTTTCATTTAAGTGACGCTGTTGACAGGGAAAGATTCTGGCATGTACATTATGAAAAGTGACTAAGTTACTCTTGTTTTTACAGCTTTGATATTTCCTCTGAGGCTGTCCTTTCTTGTGACATAACATGCTTTACTGGCTCTGAAGATAAAGTAAATTATATCAAAGGTAAAATTATGTCAGTTTTGGGTCTTTTATTGAAATATTTGATGGTTTTCAGCCAATGTCAACTAGCAAAAAGTAGAAAATTGGCCCAAGTTCTATTTACTATAAATGGAGAGCTGTGGGTCATGTGTAAAATAAGAGAAGGCAGGCTCTTAATAGGGGTAGGTCTTAGAGAAATAAAAAATACATGACCCATAGACCATGAGACCTTGGAAGTAACTCTACCTCTGATAGCAGATTTTATGGGTGACATCTGGAAGTAAATCTTTAGTTGGTGGTTCTATTATTTGTTATTAAATATAATTATTTTTATTTTTAGCCTGGAAAGATCTAACAAGCGGAAGTTTTCATAGTCATGTCCTTCCAGGAAATCACTTCTACCTTATGGATTCTGCCAATGAGACCTTCATCAAGAATTTCATAACCAAGTGTTTAGAATTGTGGATGCTTGTCAATTCTTAGATATCTTTTCCTTCTTAAAATAATCAGTCAATATGTGATACTCTGCATAATTTTTCACAAGTATCTCATTGGTTCTATTCAAAAATTGAAAAATTATAGTTTCTGTTGTCAGGATGATTTGTTACACATAAGTGTGTTTCTCTACCATTTATGGATCTGGGGACAAAAGATAAATGGGTGAAAGCTACTTCTGGCAGGGTCTTTAATCTTCATATCACAATCTTATTTGAGTCTAGTCTGTTGGAAGTTTGTTCCCAAACATCTGCTTAGCAAATTATCTTTTCCCTTAAGTCCTTTTTAATAGAGAAAATGATAAGAGAAGGGAGGTGCCTGACATTATTGTTTAGTCAATACACTGTGATTTAAAGTTTGATCAAATCTTTTGAAATGTAGGGTCATTCTGTTAGTAAGAAAATGTGACCTAGTGCTTTGTTCAGATAAGATAGTTGTGAGCCACTGTTGTTACCTGCGCTGGCCAATGAATGCCTGAGAGCTCCGGCTGTCCCCTAGGGTCCTGGCTAACATCAACTGCCTGGTGGCTCTTTGTCAGCCTGCTTCTAACCAAAGTCTGCAGTCTGGCCCTGGCCTGTGCAGTGGTCAGGGGTAAGCATTATGCCTGACACATTGTCTCGACTTCACTCTGACACAGTATGATAGGGACAAAACAGACTAGCTGGAAAACATACAAGAACTGAAAGGGAAAAAAAGCAGATGAGTTGAGATGGGATGAGTTGAGTCGGGATGAGTTGAGTCATAGTAATGAAGAACACTACAAAGAGGATTCACAGAGCCTACCGATGGGAATGAAGTGGAACCATGTCTTTGGGGTTTTGTGGATCCTGCAATCTCATGTAATTCCCAAACTGTGTTTGTCTCTTGAAATCTTGATGGCTCAATCACTGATTTCCTTGTTTCCTATGGGTCTTCACAATAAACTCCATGATTTGATGTAACTGATGTTTCCTACAGCTTAAATTGTCTAACAAAGGTTTATATAAGAACTTTATAGAATTTCTATGTTGTGACCAAATAATCTGGGTTCATCTCTTCATTAAAATTTTAAAATCATATACACAGAGTCTTCAAAATAATATTAAAGATGTATACAGGAGGTATTCTTCTGAATTTATCATACCTTTTTAAGCAAGTCCAAATAATTCAAAATTCATTACTGGGAAGAGCTTTGAATTAGAAGTTACATACATTTGGACTAAAAATAGCCTCAAGCAAATTAAGTTAAATGTTTAGTACTTTGTGCTATGCTTTAGTCTTTGGTTTGATACGATTTCCAGGATTCCCTTATAGAAGCATTGGTACAAAAGTAATTTGGAATTGTGGTTATTTATTTGAACTATTTTTAGTTAATAATCTGCTAATAGGAACTTCATGGTGTAGTCACCACCAAGCTTTTAGAAGGGCTTTCTCACCTGCCCTTCCATGTGGAGGATGTGAAGTCCCAGTGGCAACAGCTCAGTTTCCAAGCCCTTGGTTGGCAGAGACCAGAACTATCACTGCTGAGATCTTTGTTTTGTTGGATCTGCATGTTTGACTTCATTGTTGATTTCTGAACATCTTTTGGCAAAACTTAGTAGAGATGAGAATCATCTTCATTTTCTAAAGCTTTCCAAGTAGAAAACAAGCTAGATATATTTTAATTAAAAATTTTATTTGAAGATAATTGTACATTCACATGTAGTTCTGAGAATAATACAGAGCTACTGAGCTTCCCTTAATGGTAACATCATTGATCCATGTGAAACATTGATCCAGTCAAGATACAAAACACCCCCTATCCACAGGACCCCTCCTGCTGCCTTTATAGTTATCACCCACCCCTGCCCCAGCAATCACTACTTGTCCACTACGTCTATAATTTAGCTATTTCAAGAATATTACAAAAATGAGACCATATGGTATATAACCTTGCTTCACTCCACATAATTCCCTGAAAATCCATCTAATCAATATAGAGTTTCATAAAGTCACATGAAATCAAACTATTCTTATTTGAGCAAACCAAGCCAGACCTAAACCCTTAGGCAGAGATAGAATCATACTGTTTTGTTTTGTTTTGAATTTTATCCTGTGGGATTCACACGAATTTTAGAAATGTTAAAATGAGACTATGTTCCATCAGAGTGTCTGTGTACTGGCAAAAATGATTGAGAATTGGGCCGATCTGATAGTCAAGATTCTACTGTTACTCTTATTAAACTAAATGTAAGAGGTAGAGTATTTGTATAGTTTATTATCACTAGATATATTTCTGTTTGATCTTCTTGATTTGCCTTAAATGTCAAAATTTAAAGAACAATAGTTGACATTTCTATGGTGGCTTTTTTTTCTTTGAAGAACCATAGATAGGGCCTCCCCGGTGGCGCAGCGGTTGAGCGCTGGGTTGCGAAGCTGCCAGCAGCCTCTGCAGCGCCGGTTCGATCCCCGGCTGCTCCCCGGCCACCGGAGGAGGGTCCCACATGGCGCGCAGACCTCTCCTGCCGCCCGCTGCTCCCCTCAGCAGTGTACTTCGGTCCTTCTGCCTGCTCTGCTCCCCGCTCTGGCTCTGGTGAATTCTCTCACCCTCCCGCGCTTCTGACTGTACCCAGTGCATGTATAAACAAACAAACAAACAAATGAATAAATAAATAAATAAAACATGCCTCTATTAAAAAAAAAAAAAAAAAAAGAAGAACCATAGATAGACTCATAAATTTATTTCTAAAATTTTTTAGGGTTTTTTTATCGCTATTTTTTTTTTTTAAAGATTTATTTTATTTTATTTATTTATTTATACAAGCACTGGGTACAGTCAGAAGTGCCGGAGGGTGAGAGAATTCACCAGAGCCAGAGCGGGGAGCAGAGCAGGCAGAAGGACCGAAGCACACTGCTGAGGGGAGCAGCGGGCGGCAGGAGAGGTCTGCGCGCCATGTGGGACCCTCCTCCGGTGGCCGGGGAGCGGCCGGGGATCGAACCGGCGCTGCCGGCGCTGCAGAGGCTGCCGGCAGCTTCGCAACCCAGCGCTCAACCGCTGCGCCACCTGGGAGGCCCTATCGCTATGTTTTATATAGCTTTTGCTTTAAAATGAAGGTAGAATAATTAGTTATCTCATTAAATTCTTTTTTTTAAAGATTTATTTATTTAGGCATATAAGATTGGGGTACAGGCCAGAGGTATGGGGGCGGTGAGAGGATTCACCAGAGACAGAGTGGGAAACAGAACAGGCAGATGGACTGAAATACACTGCTGAGGGGAGCAGCGGGCGAGTCAGAAGAGGTCTGCTGTACCATGTGGGTAGTTCCTGGGCTGGTGCTGCAGTGGCTGCGGATAGCTTGCATCTTAACCCCTTGTGCCACCAGGGAGGCCCAATATCATTCAATTCTTACACTCTTGTGAGAGTGATATTTTCCCCCCACTGTACAGATGAGGATGAGCAATGTTCAGTAATTTGCCTCAGGTCATCTAATAAATAAATCATAGAGTGAGCATTAGAATCAGGTGTGTCTGTGATCCCCAAGGCCCTTCATCACGTAAACCCAAAGCTACACAGTTCAATAAAGAAAGTCTTGCTATTGCTTCTTACACCAGTAAGACTTTTGATTACACCAGTAATACGGACTCACTAGAGAAAAACAGATAAGCCCAAAGGAAAAGCCATTGTTAATGTTTTTGTAAATACATTACCAGAGCAATAATTTTTTAAAAGAAATTTTAACATCATCTGGTTTTAGCAAGTAAAATTTCATTAAATATGTAGCTTCAGCATATCTCTAAGGAGTATAATTCATGTAAACAGCAAAAACATTCATGATATGTGAAGAGTTAAAAGTGCATTTCTTCCCTAAATGTTAGGTCATGACACTGTTACGAAGGCTTCCACAGGAAAACTTTCTCATGCTGAATTCTAAATTCCATATTTTTCTATCAGCTCTTTTGCTTTAGAAATATAGGCACTCATGGCATCTTCTTTTGACAACCCTAGAAAGATATAAACAGATATCTCACTGACTGGTGTACTGGGAAATTAAGTAAGTTTGTTTAATTTAAGAATTAAAAACCTTTTTTGAGGTTCCATGCTTCCCATTTAGCTTTTCTTTTTAGATCCATCATAACCGGACACCCTGCTAAAAGAAGATAGATGTATTTTCAAGTTTACTTTTAACTGTATGCTTCTACAAGCAGTGTTCAAATGTAGTATTATTACTTTTAAAAAGAAAGAATACCAATGTTGATGTCTCCAATGATAGACTGTTTGTAGAGCCCGTAGAGTTCTTTCAGTTCTTCATCATCTGGCCTTGTTTTCAGCTTCCTCACATCTTGTGCAATTCTATCAAAATCATCCTAAAACAAAAATAAAAGAGAGGCACACAGTACATTTGCTGACTTTCAGCAAACCAGTCCACTTTGGGGAAGGCATTTACCACCAAGCGGTTTGAACTCAAACAGGAGCGGGTAGACTTCAAATAGAAGTGAACTACTGTGCTTGCTTCGGCAGCACATATCCTAAAATTAGAACGATACAGAGAATATTAGCATGGCTCCTGTACAAAGATGACCCGCAAATCTGTGAAGCGTTCCACATTTTAAAAAAAAAGAAGAAGAAGTGAACTATTACTGTCCTGGTTCCCTCAGAATTACCCTAACTTATTTTAATTCATGGACTTATCTCCTGGCACTTACCTTTTATAGACAAGATATGGAGAAATTAGGACTAATAAATAAAGAATAGATGAAATTCTTAATACCAAAAATGTTCGATTTATCTATACTTAAAACATGAAGAAGACACAAGTGGGAAGATATTTCAAACCATGAATTGGGAAGAATTTATACTGTAAAAATGTACCACCCAAAACAATCTACAGATTCAGTGAAGTTCCTGTCAAAATTCCAAAGATATTTTTCATGAAAATAGAAAAAGTAGTCCTAAAATTTGTATTAAACTACAAAGAACCCCAAATAGCCAAAACTATTTCGAGGAAGAACAAAGCTGGAAACCTCATGCATTCTGATCTCAAACTATATTATAAAACTGCAGCCATCAAGACAGAGTGGTATTAGCATAAATACAGATATATAGGTCAGAGTGAGACCGGAATTGTCAGGCCTAGTCTCCCAGCCAGGAACAGATTCCAGGCTGCAGGGCAGCGCTGAGCCCCAGCCGCTAGACCCCCCACGGGTTGGTGTCTCACGAAGCCGCAGCAGGAACTTCGCAGACGCTCAGGCAAGCAAGCGAGCAAAGGCAGGTTTGTTTAGAAGAAAAAAAAGTTTATTGAGGAGAAAAAGAGCAGAAATAAAGTGGGACTCCCAGGCCAGGGAACCAGGCCTGGGAGGGGCAAGGAAGCCAAAGTGAAGTCGTGTCTCAGGGAATATATACGTTCTTTCCCTGATTATTCTAAAGCTCTACCAGTCTCTTTGTGATTGGTCAGTTTTTGGCTGTTTTACTTAATTTGCTACTGAGTGGGGGATCTTCACATTCCTTATCTAACAGGTTTGTCTTTCCCCATTTGTTATATCTTTATCTTTATGGTCTAGCCCTCCCGGTGAGCATCTTTACACTTTATTTTATCATCTGAAGAAAACCAGGGCCATCCTTAACAAGATTATCTGTGGTGCTAGGATGTTTGTTTTTCCCAGTGGAATTGGTTTCATTTCCTTGCTCGTCCTTATCTCTGAAGCCTTCCTGAATTTTTTCAGAGGTCCCCTCCTGCACTGTCCCTAAAACTGCCTAATAACCCTAGCTTGCCCTGTCTCAAGAGGAACAGAATAAAGAGCCCAGAAATTAACATAAAAGATCTATTAATTTACACCAAAAGAGCCAAGAACTTATAGTGGGGTAAAGGACAGTCTCTTCAACAAATGGTGTTGGGAAAACTGGACAGTCACAAGCAAAAGAATGAAACTCAGCCACTATCTTGGATCAAGACAGAGGGTACAGGGAGGGGAACTGGATTAAGATCATCAAATGATTCTTAAAAAAAGAAAGAAACAATTATATCAGAGAGATTTTAAAACATTTTTTTCTTGTAAGTAAACCTTCTATGGATATATTTTTTAATGGCACTGCCCTCAGTGCAGTTCTCTTGATGACTCTTGTGGACATGTTCTCTCTTCTTCCTAAATCTATACTTTGCTATATGCAATGGCTTTGCTGCCAATTAATATCCTTGTCCCAGGCATTTGTCTTCAGTGCCGCTTTGCCCACAGATTCAACATCAGTATTATTTATACCTATTTAGTGGACTAGCTAGTTTCTGATTGCTGATTTAGTTGAACTGCTTGTATAGATTCCTTTAAATATTGAGACAAATATGCTTAAGATCTATTTCAACTGATTTCCAAAAAAAAAAAAAAAAGTTGTTTAACCAACTTAGAGCTGATTAGTGAAAAGAAACTGGCTGCCTAGAAACTTTGTATGCAAATATATTGAGTAATGAACCTTTGAACGCCTGACCAAAACACTCAATACACTAGTCTTCCATGGAGCCTGGGCACTCTTAGAAGCTTAACCTTCAACCTCTTAGTTTGTATACAAAGGGCTTTAGTGATTATTTTTCTTAACAGAAATTTTCTTTCTCACACTTTAAAAACATAAATTGTATTTTATCTGGTGTTATTTGTTTTTAAATCAGGGATAAACAGGAATTATTTTCAGGAGCCTGGGTATCCAATAAGAGACTGAAAGCATTCTAGCCCACCCCCATTTTCCTTGTCCAATGCCAGAGTCACTTTCCATCCACAGATCCAAAAACCTGGTAGATAAAGCAGATAACCCCATTGTAACCCAGCATCCTACTAATCTTGGCAAAATAGATGGGATGAAATTCCCATCTAGTGTCAAGTACAGGACAATAGCACAACTAGAACAGCTATTTGTGATGAGCAAAAATCACTCCTAAACTGGAGATCAGGATCTCCAATCTACATAAACTTTAAAAAGGTCAGGTTCCTTTATCCATCCCTAAGGGTGTCTGAGAAACATAGGTGCAAGTGACAAGGGACACATGCCCTGCCTCATTTTTCTAAGTGTCCTTCTAGGAGACTGTGGGCTGCTTTATACATGACGTCAAGGTTAGGCACACCCTCTGCAGCTAGCTTGCCTCGGTTTGATCCTCCCAGCAGCAACCGGTGTCGGGCCTCCCGGGGGCTTGTGCCTACTTGGCATTTAATCAGCCCCTGGGGCTCACAAGAGTTGCCATAGGGAGCCCCGATTCGCAGTCAACAGATGGCACCCGTGCAGTCTACACTGCAATAATGGGGACCTGGGGAAGGGTGGGAGCGTCTGGGAGAGACCGCGACCCGCTCAGAGGGGCCTGGACCGCGGGCGGCAGCAGCCCACAGCCCCCTGGCGCTGCCGGGGGGTCGCCTCTGCTCGCGCGGCCACTCGCAGAAGTCACCCCAGCTCCGCGCCCCCCTTGATCGCTTCCCTCCGGGTAGCTGCCCTCCCACACGGCCTGCCTGTCCACACCTGCGCTTACCTGCAGGGACATGGTGTCGGCAGCCAGCGGACGCCACACCCCGGGCTCTGGGTCACCAAGCCTGGACCCCGCAGTGCCTTAATGGGCAGAGCATCTCCGCCCGCCGGCTTCCCATTGGCTGCGCGCCTGTTGCTCCTATTGGTCGCGAGCTGTGGGGGGTGGTGCTTGATGGTGAGTGGTACCCCAGCCTCCCCAGAGCCCTCTGGGGTCCCGCTGCAGGGGTGGGAGGGCTGTGGGCGGCGTGCACTGCTGGGGCTGGAAAGGCAAAGGGTAAGGGATTTAAATGAGTTCCTCTCTGGCTTTGGCTAGCTCCCCAATTCTTTCTCTAGGGGTTGTTTGCAGGAAATCCAGAGAGGTCTCCCTCGGGCACCGACCTCAGTTGGGATTCCCTTTTAATATATCTTTCTGCTTTAGAAAGAGCAGAAACTCCTGCGGTTATTCCGTTCTCGCCTGTCTCCCCACCCATCACTGGCACAGTTCTTCATATATGAAAAAAAAAAAAAAGAAGTCCTGTAGTCTGAACCGTCTCTTCTCGTTCTAAACAAGCAACCATCCCTACGTGTTTTCAATTATGGTAATTGCACAGGACTATATGCTTGTTCAGTTTGATCCTGTTTTCCAGAATAAACCCAATGTCACTGCAAGTCTGCAGATACACACATCCAAAGATCAAAGACCCAAAGACCCAAAGACCTGGATTGTGATTCACATTTGACTAAGTTATTTAAGAACTGGAGTCACACTTCCTGGCCATAAGAGGAGTTGATTTCGATGCATTCATTCATTCATTCATTCATTTATTAAAAAGCATTCTTGGAGAAAGGTAACTGGAAGAACCTGCACAAACTCAGGGAGAAAAATTACTGATCTCAGTCTTATAACACAGCAACAATGTTTAACAATGCAAGTGAAGGAGAAGGAGCCCAAAACATTTTAGCTTGGTTTTGCTTAAAACTTTATCTTAAGAATAGTTGCTACTTTTCTTGTAAATCTATTGGATTTCCTCTGAAAAAATATTTTCATGCTGAAATCGTTAAGATGAAATAAAAATCAATAAAATGCTGGACAGGATTTTTTAATTTTTGAAGTTCATGGTCATGGAGAATGCACATTGAGGCACCAGAAGCAAGTGGCAGTTTCTGAATAGTGTGTGCTTTCTCAGCTGGAGAGAGTCTTATCAATGTTTCAGCAGGGAAATTCTGCACTCAGGGTCAATGTCAGTGTCTTATCTGCAGCTGAGATATTTGGGCATTGTAGTCATTATAAGAAATCAGGCGATGAAGAGAGGGAAGTTACAATGTATTCCGTTTTATTCTCTAAATCTTGAATATTCTTTGAATACCTCTTTTAAATGTACTTTCTTCTTTTGTGTTGCCACCCTCCATTGAGATGCCAGAGTCATGGGTGTCTTGATTCAAGAGCAAGAGAGAAGATACAATGGAAACATTGATGTCCTCTGTCCAGCTAGAATGATAATAGACTTGGTACAGTTAAAAACTCAGTTTTCTGGAGCCCTTAGGGAGTGAGTCAATTTGAATGGACTTTTAAACTAGTTTATTAAATATTGATTATAAAAAAATATATCCATATGTGTAAAAAAAATGTAAAAGGCACACTCTTAGGAATCTATCAGCTGTTTAAGAAATAGAACATTGATCCAAGGTGGGAGATTCATTGCTTCACTCCCCAGACAATCATCTACTTTAACCTGTGGAGTATTGCACCCAGAGAGCCCTGTGCCTTGGGCAAAACTGGAACACCTCCTGATATCAGAAACTAGACAGATGGCTTTAGAAGGGACATGGAGTAGACTCATGCTTCAGTGAACAAGAAAGGATAGCAGAGAGACACCAGGAGGCTATGGTTAAGGGTGGGAGGCTTTCATGCAAACCATGCCTTCAGTGTCTGGTGACCCAAGGGAGGGGAGAGTTGCACTGTGGAAAAACACTCCCTTGACTGAGGGGAAATACATGTAGAGGGGCTGGAGTGCTCCCAGTGAGCCAGTTCCCCAGTGAAATGGGAAGGACAGCATACTGGGTTTCGCTCCCTTGGGCTGATGCTGATATTGTGAGCTATGTTAATCTGTGACAAAGGTGCTAAGGGTATGAATACTGAAAAATTGGAGATACCCTGGTGTCTCTCAAGGAAAGATGGCTAATGGAACTTGTACTTTGTTTGCTGGGTTATCTTCAACTGATTTTCAGCTTCCCTAGGTATATAATCATTTCTGGGAAATGAGGCAGCACCAGCAGCTAATGATACAAATTGTTCATTAGGGCAACACTGAAAGGAAACATGTTTTGAGTTAATTGGATCATGGGAAAAGTTTCTTTTTTCTTTTTCTTTTTTGTTTTAATCTTTGTGCACTACAAATGGTCGAGAAATTACCTTTGAAATGTAGTTATTCATTTTAGCAAAATTCTTGAGGAAATTATATCGCCAGTTTTAAAATAAAACACAACACTAAAATCAGAGTTAGGTATGGTTAATTCTAACTTAATTCTTAATTCAGGTTGTCATTGGATATATCACAGTTTCATGTATCAAACACTTTCTTGGCTAGGCATGTGTTAAGTATCTTACAAAGATGATCTCTTCTAATCCTAACAACAGCTACTATTTTTATCACTTTATAGAGAGCATTAAGTAACTTGCCTAAGGTCATATGCCTAGTCAGTGATTAAGTTAGAATCTCAAGGAGGGCAGCCTGGCTCCAGATCCATGGAATGTAATGGCTGGTAATCTTCATAGAGCAAACATAAACCAAGATGTTGCTTAAATGATAAATCTGAAACCTTAGTGGGGCAACAATTTATACACATTTCCTTCTCTTACTCTGGTATTTCGATTAGACATGTGTGTCTCTATCTGCCTTACAGCTTAAAAACGAGAGGCTGCTTTAGAACATTGGCGGTTCTGTTATAGGGCAGCCCCGATATTGAACGGGGTGCCTGGCTGTGGGTCCTCACCTGCGCGCTTACAAGGGACTTATTAATACTCCACTACAGGCACACACAAAAGGTTAATAAAAGGTTTATTTATAAGGGAAAAGGAAATAAGGAAAATGTACAACTCAGGGAGAAAATAGGGAAATAAAGTCTTTAATGCGTCCTACCCTATCCGCTGACCTGGAAATCCAAAAAGCACTCTCCGAGCTGGCCAGACCTTGGGAGCTGGCGGAGAGTCAAAATGGGGGACCCCTCCAAAGCCCACGTGTCTGGCTTTATACCAACCTGGCTGCTTAACCCCACCCTCAGGTCCTCAGCCACCTTCCCTTTGGTGGTGCTGGGATTTGGAGTTCCCAGTGTCTTTGGCTTTGGCCTGGGGTGGGGGTGGAGTTCACAAAGCCTGTATGGAATTAGCTTTAGGACATCCTTTTCCCCCTAACAGTTCATGGCCATGTTTTGATACTATTAATTTTATGAAATAAAAACCCACTGTCATACTGAAACTCGATATAACTTCCTTCTTTTTAATCTTTCTGAGATTAAAAAAAAAATCTCCCTACTCGTTACGTTACTCTGTGTAACCCGCAAAAATAATCTTGGACCCAAAGCAACAGTTTGTTTTGTTGTTGTTGTTGTTGTTGTTGTTACTTTATGGCCAGTTAAGTACTGCGTAGGTGATGAAAATGACAAATACAGAAAGCAAACTAAAAAAAAAAACAACAAAAAACAAACCATCAGGGAAGAGATTTAGAAAAGGAGCAAAGACAGAAGGGGCAAAGGAAGGAGTGCATTGGAAGGGGAAACAATGGGGATGGGGAGGAGGTTCATCAAGATCGGAAGCAATCTAGTTCTTGCCAAGAGAAAATCAATAGGTCCCTAAGCTTGAAAATGTTCTTCAGTTGTTTCATAATTGTCCATGCCTTCCTAGTGATTCCGTTCGTAGCTGTCAGATTCTGCATAGGTTGCAATATCCATAGCAGACATTTGGAGGAGCTTGCTGAACTGTCAGAGAACTCAAAACAGCCTTTCCACGTCTCTTTCCGGGGGACTCAGGATTGCCTACATTGTTGTCTGTAACAATGAGGTTTCCTCAAAGCACCCCATTCATTCCCCATTTATCTTTATTTTCATGGGGCTGAGAATTCGGCTGGGATTTGATGGAGACGGGGCCACTGTTACTGGAGTTTTGCGTTCCTTAGCTCAGCCCCAAACAGAAAAGCGAGAGAAATAAAACTAAGCCTGCCCGGCGCAGAAAGGCAGAAACTGCGTCTGAAGGCAGCTGTGCCTCGGAGAGCGAAGTCGCCTCCAGGAGACTAAGCGTCGGCTGCTCCCCTCTCTCCCCGCCAGAGTGGGGAAAAGAGACAGGTTACCGTGGCAACCTCGAACTCTCGCGAGATTATCTGCGCGTGCGCGCTGCTGCTGTGACGCCATATTGGGCGCCCAACCTCACAGTGTTTATAGGTTGGTTCTTTGTCGCTTGGGGACTGTGCGACACGACGGCCCGACATTTCCATTTGGGGAGTGACCTAACGCATAATGCTGAAAAGTGAGGTTCTCTGAGCGGTTGCGCCCCCCCCACCGTGTTTGGAAGGCGCGGGCTCTGAGCACGCGCGTCGCGGCCTCCGTGGAGTCGGCGCCGTGGCGACTGTGAGTAGGGGCGGGCGCGCGGGACGCCGAGGCCTCCGCGGGCATGGCCGGGTGGGCTCGGAGGCCGAAGCCTGGGAGCGCACGGGGTCTCCGGGGCTTCCCGCGGACCCGCCCGCCTCCCGGGTCTGCTCATCCCCGCCAGCACGCGCTTCCCGGCCTGGCCTCACCCTCCGCGATCTTTGTGGCGTGGAGAGTGTTTCAGGCACAAGAAATAGTAAAATAAAACCCCACCCTGGCCCTTGAAAACTGGAGGCGACCTCCAGATCATCTGCACTTGTGGCAGCTTCGTGGTCAAGTCTGTAAGCGCTAGGAGGTAGCGGCACAGGGTAGAGATTAGCCCGGAGTGCATGCAGCCACGGGGACCTGGGGCTGCCCTCCCCGAGTGCCGCCCGATCCGGAGCTTGGGGGCGCCCGAGCCCTTCCTCTGCGCTGGCGCCCGGCTGTAAATGTAAACGAAGTGGTGTAGATTTTACCCCTTAACGACGTTAACGGGCATGTCTCTCTGTCCAGCTCTGCAGCAACTCCAGTGCCGTGTCACCGCGATTTCTTACCCCACCACTCCGGGAGCCTCTTTGCTGCCACCTAGTCTGAAGCCACAGAGGTCTTTATAACGCCTTTCTAACCATGCCGTGCTTTAAAAGTTAGTCTCTTCTCGGCTGTGAGGCTTGCAGGGGTCATCACTAGCCGTCGCCAGTATCTGCTTTTCTTCTTTTTTTTAAGATTTATTTATTTATGCATACAAGAACAGGCCAGAGGTGTGGAGGGGGGAGTGAGAGGATTCACCAGAACAGTGGGGAACAGAACAGGCAGGGAGACTGAAAACCCTGCTGAGGGGAGCGACAGGAGAGGTCTGCTGCACCATGTGGGATGCTCCCTGTCCGGGGATCGAACTCCTGCAGCAGTTGCGGATAGCTTCATAGTGCGGTGCTTAACCCCTTGCACCACCAGGGAGGCCCAGTACCCGCTTTTCTCTAGCATCTCTTCCCCAGCGATAGTGAGCCTCTTTCGTTTCCTTTAATGTTCTCTGGGATACCGTTTCTACTTGGTGCTTCATTTGGTAGGCATTCTTCAGATGTAGGGCTGAAGGTCACTTTTTCCAGGAGGCCCTTCCTGACCCCCTCCACTAGGTCAAGCTTTTGCTATCTATTCCTTGAGTGCCCTACAGTTCCCTGACCTTTGCATCTTGTTGTATTACCTTCTGATGTTCTAAGCTGAGACCAGGTTTTACTTCAATACTTAATTTTTGCTTTGGTGCACTGTAAGTATTTGAAATGAGAAAGAATGTGGTGTGAGACTGAGTGTGGGAGTTTTCCAGTCATGGAGATGAGAAACGTGTGTCTTCCTTAAATATTAAGGGATGCAGTGGTTGTGTGTGAAGAGAGAGGCTTGCTGTTGGGCACCAGAGTATGCAGGCCTTCTGTAGCACCTTAAGAAGTTTGCTTTTGATTCTATGGGCATATAGGGCATTTGGATATGTTTTCAGATTATATGGTCCAAGGTTTAGCTTATATGTGCTACTTGGTTCTTCTCTTACCCACTAGATTCTGAAGACAGGAGTTAATGCCTGCTTTGCTCTCCCTTCCTGGTAAATAACTATTTACTCTGTGTTGTGTGAATGCTTAGACAGCTAACTCCATTACCATGTTTGTCTTGCTTCTTAGTCTTCCCACTTCCATTGGCTTTGGTTAAGCTGCTTCTTGGTTCCGAGCTCGAGGAGAGCATGGAGAAAGGCAGCTGTCTCAAGGAAGGATAGGCAGGATATAATCTGAGCTAGTGCTTACAGGATTTTCCCATTGAAATCTCTTTTACCATTTTCCCTTAATAAAGTATCTTTAAATTTCATGACATTTTCCTAGTTTTCATCACATAACTGGCAAATGAACAATCAGCTTGCAATAACCATAGGAAAGGGGAATATCCACCTGGGTAGTAAATGTTTTAGGAGGAATACACGAGATACACAGAATGTCGGAGGAAGGCAGACTTAGAAAAGGAGACAGAATGAAAGTATCAGTAGCCATATGCATTATTAGTGTTCTGTATCTTAAAACAAAAAAATCATACCTGGTTAATTCTGAATGGCAGAGACTTAGAGGGCCCTCACAGATTGTGCAGGTGTACGTACCTCAACCCCAGTGCTTAGAACTCTGCACAGTGAATATTTGTTAAATGGATATTGGGAGCCTAACCAGAGAGCAATTCAGAAAATGGTAACGAATTTATAAGATTAATACCATAGTCAATAAAAGGATAAATCATTATGAGCAAGTAGAAACATGGAACATTTTTTAATGAATGAAATAGAATTTCACTGATTGCAATGACGTGAAATATTTGTATGTTGCCCATATTGTGAATAAAGTCATGAAAAATGTAGGATAGAAATTACTTACAGGTTAAATATATGGTCACATAATTGGTCCTATATTACTGAGCTTGCTGTCAAGCAAATGAGTACATCTGGAATGTTCTTAAGACATACATTTCTAGTTAACATAAATTTTTCTTTATTGTTTTGCTATTTTCTGAAGGATTTTCAGAATGGCTGTAGCTCCACAAGCACCAGGGAGGGGCTCTGTTCGGAAGACAAGACCTTTAACTGTAAAGACATCGCTGAACAACCCATATGCTATCTGCTGGAGTGCTCTGGAAAGAGAGGATATGCATTTCATATTACAGACACTTGAAGACAGATTTAAATCAGTTGGACTTCAGAAGATTGAGGATAAGAAGAAAAAGAAAAAGCAGTCTCTTTTAAAAAAACAAAGCAGAGACATGGTTAGCATAGATGTTGATACTAATGAGGATCTGAAAGAAAAAAAGCCAGAAGATAATCAGCAGGTGTCTGGGTGGACTCCTGCCCATGTCAGGAAGCAGCTGGCCATCGGTGTCAATGAGGTCACCAGGGCTCTGGAAAGGAATGAGCTGCTCTTAGTGCTGGTGTGTAAGTCAGTCAAACCTGCACTCATCACTGCACACCTGATCCAGTTAAGTGTAAGCAGAACTGTTCCTGCTGGGCAGGTTCCTCGGCTCAGTGAGAGAATCGCACCTGTCATTGGCTTAAAATGTGTCCTGGCCTTGGGCTTCAAAAAGAACAACACTGACTTTGTTGATGAGGTAAAAGCTATTATTCCCAGAATACCCCGCTTGATTGTACCATGGCTTCAAGACAGACTTGAAGACTTCAGCAAAGATTCACAGACTGAACCTTTGGAAAGCCAAGATGAAGAGATTTTGGAAACTTCCTTTGAAGACCTTGCAAAACATAAGAGAAAGTTTCTTGAAGGTCAGCAGGCGGCAGTATTACAACCCCTTAAAATAAAGAAACTGATTCCAAACCCCAATAAGAAAAGGAAACCACCCAAAAGTAAAAAATCTACTTCGAAGTAATTTTTATAAACATGTCATTTCATACAGCTATAAAGTGACACCTCATAAAGATGCCTTGAAACTAATTAAATGAGTTACTTTTACACATGTTCTTGCCACAGTTTGTTAACATTCCTCTCAAATGCCTAAGACATGGTGACCATATAGCACAGATAAACTGAAGTTTGCTACTAAGTGCAGACTATTCAGAAGTATGAATGTCAAAACAAGTTATTGAAACTAATGTCCATGCTTGCATAAATCACTTAAAAGGCTGGTACGTCGCTTGTAAGAACATCTGTATCTGGTAGCACTTGGGTCTAGCTAGCAGGGTAGATGAATCTGAGCTGCAGGTACATCAGTTATACAGGAAAGATAGTGAATGTCCAGCACTACACTGTCTTCAGAGATGACATTTTGTATTTCCTGTTGACATGGCATTCTTTGTGGGAAGGCGTATGCATGGCCATGGGGCAAAGAAAGGTTTGATATTTTGGGAAAAGCCAGATAAGGTATTTTGACTAGTCAGAATTAACCCTTTTACATGCATAACTGACTTCCTTGGAGATGTGATTAGGTGAAGTGCAGCAGAAAGAGAATTCAAACAATGAACTGAGGAGCTTGGGGTTTTAGGGTTGAATCTGTGCAATCACAGGGGTCCTTCATCTTAGGAAATGGAGCCTAAACAATGCTCTATTTAAAAGTGCCTGCTATTTACAGTATGTTTGGAAAAGTTACTTTCTGCAAATTAGGGGGAAGGCATTCAATTGCCAAGTTTATTTTAGTCTGATTCATGATTATGCCATCTCCACTCTTCGAAGTTTTATTGATGCATTTTCACTATTGACAAAGATGCAGCACAGTTTTTTTTTAATATATTGAGACATTACATATTGCATTGAAATTTAGTTCTAATAGCTACTTTATAAACACAAGCATTTTACCAATTCTCCATTTTAAATATTCATTGGTAATGCTTAAATTATAAAGAGGCTGTATATGCTATATATGCTAGTCATTTTTAAATGTGAGCAAAAGAATATGGAACAATTGGAATTCTGTAAAATTCTGTAAAACAATGCCAGTTTTACCATGAGGTAAACAAGTCCATGACAAAATTTATGACTACCCATTATGCAATTTATTTGTAAACCTACTTAGAGTAACACTTTGTGCCATAAAAATGTGTGGAACATAATTCCTAAACAGAGCTTTGACTTCAGACTAAGTTAAAATCTCATTTACTTAAGGCTGGTGTCTCAAAAAATGTTTAAGTGAAATGGTTCTGTTTGGCTTTATTAAGCCTGTCTCCAGTAAGAACAGTAAAGAGATGGGTTTGAATCATCCTAGCATGCACTACTCTGTGCGCAGGTATGCCCTCTAGTGGCAGTCTCAGGGATATCAGCTATGGGTTGGTCTTCAGAATAAAGAAGCTGCAGTAAATGCCTCTCAGCTCCTTACTATATAAATTAGGGTCATTTTTTTTTTTTTTCTGTAAATGGCCAGATGATAAATGTTAGGCCTTTAGGGCTACTACAGTCTCACTCTACCTTTTGTAGCATGAAGCAGCCACAGGCAATACATAAATGAGTTAAGTGTGGCTGTGTTCTAACAAAACTTTATTCATGGATGCTGAAATTTGAGCTTTGAACAATATTCACGAGTCACAAAATGACAGTCTTTTGACCAACCCCCCCCCCCAAACATTCAAAAATGTAAAAACCATCCTTAGCTTGTGGGCTGTACAAAAACAGGTGATGGGCTGGATTTAGCTCATGGGCTATAGTTTGCTAACTCCTGCCTGATAAAAGATACGACTGGTTTTATTTGACTACTTACAACATAAAGGAAAAGCCATTATGTTGTCATAAAATAATTACATTTTTCTGGACTGAACAGCCTAGGCACTGGTACAATAAAGGCAGGAAGAAATATCTACTCTGGTATTTGAGTCAAGGCCAGTATATGTGGTCTCATTTACATCTTTTCCCCTTGAACTATTGGCAATATATACATACATATATATGTACACAGTGAAACTTGTTTTTTCATTTTCTAGGTAAAAACACATCAGTAACAAAATTATGAATACTTATTTACAAAGTTTCCATTAGCATGACACTTCATGATAAATTAAAAGTCAGCATAAAGGAGTATGTGCAATTTTGCATAAGTAATAAAAATATTCAAACTATCAATGTCCTGATGGCACTAATAAATTCCACTGGGCATTTTTTTTTTTTACTTCAGAGCTTTTATTTTCCTTTTCTCCTCATATACCTTGCTATGGTGAGAAGAAACTGCAGCAGCAGCAAAGTCTTGTCAGTCATAGGTATATACTCTTTCAGCGAGCATTCAGTGTCTGCACAGAACTTTGCTTTGGAACCAAACCATTAATCTGCTGAAGATCAAAGTACAGATTTGTGTGTTTATTGATTTGGCAATTTTGTTTCTCAAGAAATGTACTAGTCACCAGTATGTTTTAATCCTGCTCTCTACTTGAACATCCATCACTCATCACTGAGTTACAGAAATGCTGATTCCATACATGTTCCCAATGATATCATGTAAGGTGATTTAAGAATTTTCCACATGGATCCTTTGCTCTGTTACATGGACAAATCAATAAATAGAAATGCATCAGTTTATTTCCACACGAGTAAAGATTTTTTTCACATGATGCTGTGACTTCTGTTCAGTCCATAGAAAAACAATCCCTTTTTCTAGAATGGAAAAATACCTTCTCTTCATCAAGAGACTGTCAGAAGTTTGAAAACTAGAGGAATATGTTCTTGGTTCCCTCTCATTCCTCCTACAAATGGATAAACAGTGGGAAAAGAAAAGGACGAATGTTAACATTCTAGCTAGAAATGTGTACAACTGGTCATGTGGACTTTTTCCATCTTTTCTGATTGTTACTACTTCAGTCTCACTTAAATTGTGCTTTTATTCTTCCTTGGAATGGCAGTTCCAGGAATCATTAAATAGAACATTAACAAATGATGACATCAGAGTTCCCAGAAATAGAAATATCCATCTATTGTAATACAAGTCCAACCTAAAGGGAGGAAAGAAATGGAATAATAAGAACAGGTAAAAGGTAAACAAAACAAAATTATAGTGTAATAGATCTATATTTAAAAAAAAAAAACAAAACTAGAGAAAACCTCTCAATCCTCAGGGAGTAAGTATGGGATATTCTATTTATTAAGTTTACAAAGGGTACATTGACATCACTTACCTTTTCAGATTCTGTTCCTGGACATCTCCAGTTGTACAAGTAATATTGTAAATTTCCATCTCCTATACCAAACTTGAGTTTTTCCAAGAATGTTTTATTTTCCATCAAATCTAGTGCATTGAATACATCAAATCCTTTCTGCCAATATAAAATGGATTTACATTTTTAAATGTCAAAGGACTAGTGTTTTCTGTATAATGTATTTTTGTATAACATTTAATTCCTCTATTAATAGCTTGAATGTGCATTTATAGTAAGATTTAATGTCTGCAATACATAGTATAGGTTAAGAATTCAGTTCAAAACTGTCTTGTTACAGTAGCAATGAGCCAGCAGAATTATCCAGAAATGGTGAATCAAAAAATATGGTATGATGGCTGATACTGACATAAAACCATCTATTAGTACTTTGAGACTTTTTGTCCCTATTTTAAAAGGAAAGAGTTATCTAGAAGGTCCCATTTCCACTACTGTTACTGGTTTTTCTAAGCTCTGATTTACCTGAAGCTATAGCCAAGAAACCAAAGTTTTAAAGACTTGAAATAGTATATTTGTCTTAAGCTGATACTAGGAAATAAATGTAGTAAAATTTAAATAGTAAAAGTAAAATTTCTTTGAAATGTTATTACTGTATAAAATGTGCTACCGAGCGAGTACTTAAATTTCTTTTTCTCGGTTGTTACCTTAAGTAACTCAGTACTAGCATTTTGGGGGAAGGAGCAATAGGATCAATGAATCTGAGGATAATGTTGGTTTTGGGATCCAGAAGTAATAGATTTTTTAAAAAAGTTTTTAATGATCGAATACTATATAAACAAATCATTTTTATGTGTTATTCTCAATTTCTCATGAACAATGCTTTTTCATTTAATAATTAACATCAAAATGTATCTGTCAGCTGATTTCAATTTTTTTTAAAGGAAAATGTTTATTTGTAGCAAGAATTTAACAATTATCCCAATTGCTACTATGAGGAAACAGAAAAATAATGCAAATTTAGTATGGCATGTTTTGAATTTCATTCCTTACATTTTAAATTCCTTTACTTTTTATAACCCTCTTAATTTGAAAAATAAAATTCTAAAATTCAGTCTATTTAGTTGAATTAGGAATTTACTGTTGCAAATTATGCAATGAAACACTCATTTTCCTTATGTCGTGGGATTATATATTTTTCTTAAATTCCTTTTGAGTTTTATGTATTCTATGAAGCTAAACATTTCTAATTTGTACAAAATGTCCTTTTGGTTAGGTTACAATAGAATTGATAAAAACGCTACGGAAATTTTTAAAACAAATGCTTATCAAAATTCTTCCTTTGACAGTTAATGGTAAAAAACATCTGAGATGAATTCTACCCATGTGAAAGAAAATACAGTAAGATATTTTATATACTTTGACACATACTTGGAGAAACACACAGAACAAAAAGGAGTGAGCTGCTTACCAATTTAGCGATAATGAGCGCATCATTCATGAGGTCCAGCAGGGGTGTCTCCGTGTGAATGTTATAGAAGGAGTAGGCAGCCTTGAGGCTCTTGTGAGCAGGGTGGTGCATGACTGTGGAGGGGAGTGTGTAGAAGCTCAGGAAGTCAGTTAGTTTACCAGTGGAGTTCTAAAGAACAAAGGTAATGTCAGGTAAATATCTCCTTGAATAAACTCTAGCCATGCTTTTAAGCTAAGTTTTTGAAAGTATTTGTACCGTAACTGTCAGAATGAAAAGCGACAACTCAGACTGCTCCTTGATTTAGGGCTCCTTATGGTATGCTGGGTAGAGGCCAAGAAGAGCACAGAGTTGTTCTTCAATGTTAAGTGCAAGTTGGAAATGTGCATAAAGTTATTAAAAAATAAGACTCTTGTAAAAGGACAGGTTCCTATGGCTGACTAATGAGTCTTTCAAGACTTAATGAACAGTGATAAAAGTAGATTATTTTTGCAGAAACGAGAGTGCTAGGGATTAGAGGCTTCCCTTCTACTAAAAGATACTGTGTTACATCTATCATTTTCTTGGCATAAGGCAAGAATTTTATCAGCTTTAAGTGAAGTTGGATAGAGTTTGGAAGTTTCTGAAAGAGAAACACCAAAATGTACTTAACATGAATAACTAAAAAAATCTGCAAGCTATTAAAATTAAAAAGGACACAAAAGATGGTATTCATTTCATTCTCATTGGTATACCTTTCAATACAAGAAGCTAGCCAGTACTGTTTGGGCTTTTTAATTAGTTGTGGTGACCTATGCTGCAGTCTTGTGTTTGAATTACGTAATTCATAGCTGAAGAGACCACATACATACCATTTTTCTTTTATCAGAGAAGCAAAAAAGGGTGGATATCTGGTTTTTAAAAGTACTTTTAATTCATCAAATCTTTTCTCAGACATTAAGAACTTAAAGACTTTATGCTAAAGTAACTCCTTTTGCTTAGTATTAGTAGCTCAGGATTACAGATGAATTAGAGACCAATATTTTCAGCCCTAACAAGAATTTTCAACTTGAAAAATACCACAACAAATTAAAAACAAAAACACCTCACTGGATGGGCCCAGTAAAGTAGAAATGACAGAGGATAGAAGAATTCAGTGACATTCACCCAATCTAAATAAAAAGAAAGATGAAAAAAAAAATAATAAGCTTCAGGGATCTATGAGGTAATAACAAAAGATTCAAAATTCATGTCATTGGAATCACAGAAGAAAATGAGAAAATGTAAGGCTCAAAGAGTACTAAAGGAAATAATGGCTAGAAAAACCCTCAAATTAGGCAACACACAGACATAATAGAGTCAGGGGGGTGTGTGAATGCCATCAGAGTAAACACAAAGAATTTCTGGCCAAGAGACCTCAAAATTAAATTTCCAAAAACTAAAGACAAAGAAACATCTTGGAAGTAGCCACAACAATGCAATCCATTCCCTGTCAGGGGACAACCAATTCAAATGATTGCAAATTTCTTATCCTGAAGCCACAGAAGCCAGGGGAGGTGGTTCAGTATAATTTAAGCACTGGGAAAAAAGAACCATCACCTGGGAGTTCTATATCTGGTAAAATTTCCTTCAGGAATGAAGTGGAAATAGGGATAATCTCAGGCAAATGAAGCTAAAAGATAATATTAGCAGACATTCTGTTAAGATCAGCCAAAGGAAATGTTCAACTAGGAAGGAAATAATAAAAGAAGGCACCTTGGACCATCAGGAAGGAAGATAAAAATAAGAGAAATCTGGTATATACTATATACTATGCTTCTCTTTGTGAGATTATAAACCTACTTGAATATTAAAATAAAAATTATAACACAATTAGATATCAAGATATTTAAAAGGCAAGAAGGTAAAGGGACAAGGTGGAAGTGAAGTCACTTGAAGTGGTCAAACGTGGATAAATGTGAGACCATCAGACCACAAAAAAGTCAGATAGGCACAATACAATAACCAGAGTGAACATCACAAAAACTACTCAACTGCACGTAAATCAAAATAGAATATACAGAAAATTTCAAGTAGCCTACAGCAAAGCAAAGAAAAAGGACTGAAGGAACAAATAAAAAACACTAGTATGGCAGACTTAAGCTCTAATATATTAATAATTAGCAAAGGTAAATTGGTCTAGATTCAGCAATCAAAAGAAAGGTTGAAGAGTGGCTAAAGAAATACGGTCCGATTATATGCTGTTTACTTTAAATGGCATTAACAGTTTCAAAGTAGAAGGAATGAGAAAGATATACTGTGCAAAGCATTTTGAAGTGAGATACTAAAAATAATATAGCAAGTGTTACAATAATGCTAAAATTATTGGAGACAAAGAGGTACATTATATGAAGATAAAAAGATCCATTAGGGAGACATAAAAGTCTTAAATATATAAGTATTAAATAAGATCCTCAAAATACATCAAGAAAAACTGATAGCACTGGAAGGAAAAACAGACCAATCCTCAACAATGTACTTCCACACCCTCTCATCAACTGACAAAGCCACTAGGAGGAAAGTAAGCAAGGATATAGCAAATATGAATGCCACAGACAACAGGATCAAGTTCACATAGATAAAACATTACATCCCAACATAACAGAAAACACTTTTAACATTCAGCAAGATAGACCTTATATGGGTCTCAAGAACCTCAACAGAAATGAATTCCCAGTGTGTTTTCCAAACAAATTAGAAATCAATAGGACAATTCTAAATATATTAAACTTGAATAGCAAAGCTTCAAATAATATAATAGTCAAAGTGGAAGTCTCAAAGGAAATTAAAAAATACACAGAACTGAATAAAAATGAGAAATATTAAATAAAATAGGTAGGATGCACCTAAAACATTGTAGCAGAATTTTATGCTTAAATGTAACAAGAAAAGGTCTCAAATCTAATTTCTTCTCTCAAGGAACAAGAAAAACAAGAGCAAAATAAACCCAAAGCAGCAGAAATAAATAAATAAATATCCATTAGAAAAGAAATCAATAACAACTGTGAAACAATGTCTAGTTTTTGCAGGGAAGGGTGAATCAGCAAAAGTAGTGTAACAGTAGTGAGACTGACAAAAACAGAACATACAAATCGTCAATATCAGGAATAAAAGAAGAGATATCATTCTAGATATCCCTTAAAAAGCCAACAAAAAATAATGTAATGTCATGAACAACTTTACTCTTATACCTTTGACAATTTAGAAGAAATGGATTAATTCCTCAAAAACCACTCAGTCAAAATGAACTTAATTGATTTCTGAAAGTATGATTGTGCTTGCATACCTAGAAAAAAATCTATGTGGTTATGGTATGGATAATTCCAATCATCTTAATAATTCTTTAACCATTAGAGAAATTCATTATTTTAATAAAAAATTCTCTAAGGTCATATGGTTTTAACTGGAGAATGCTAACAAATGTTGAAAGAGGCATTAACAATTCTATTCAATTTTTTCTAGAAAACAGAAGCAGAAGTAACACTTCCAACTCATTTTTTTTTTTCTTTTGAGGCTAGAATACTCCTAATAGCAAAATCAGACAAAGACAATACAAAGAATAAATACAAATTAAAACATTGTGTGAACTTAACAAATATTCAATAAAATATTAGAACTCTAAATGCAACAATGTATTAAAAGAATTATCTATACCACAACCAGATAGATTTTTTTCTAGGTATGCAAGTATGGTCAAACATTCAAAAATCAGTCAGTGTAATATACCACATCAACAGGTTACAGAAGAAAAACCACATGATCCTATCAATTGAAGCAAAAGAAACATTGGATATATCAGCAAGTTAGGAATTATCTCAAATTAATAGGGAGCACTTACAAAAAACCCAGAGCTAACATCATGGTTTAAGGCTATTGGCAGAAGACAGAATGCTTTTCCCCTCATGTCAAGAACAAGGCAAGGATGTCAACCTTCACTACTCCTATTCACCAAATACTGGAAGATCTAATCCCTGAAATAATGCAAGAAAAAGAAAGAAAAGGCATACAGATGGGAGGGAAGAAATAAAATTGTCCCATTTGCAGATGACATGGTTGTCTGTGTAGAAACCCCAGGAAATTTACAAGTAAATTCCTGGAACTAGAAAGTGATTTCAGCAAAGTTGCAGGATACAAAATCAATATAGAAAAAGCAATCAATTCTATATACTCGCCATGAACATGCAGAAACTGAAGTAAAAAATACAATGCCATTTATAACACTCCAAGGAAAACGAAGTACTTACATATAATTTAGAAAACATGCAGGATCTAGATACTGAAAATTACAGAATGCTATAAAACAATGATGAATGACCTAAACAAATGGAGACTTACCATGTTCATGGATAGAAGACCTGTCAGGTGTCTTCAAATTAATCTTTATGTAATTTTTATCAAAATCACAGCAAGAAATTTTATTGACAAAGACAAGATAATTCTAAATTATATGGAAAGGCAAAGGAAATATAATAACCACAACAACTTTGACAAATAAATATAAAGTGAGAAGAATCATTCTATCTGATATCAAGGCTTACTACAAAGTAATATAGACCATGTAGTATTGAGGAATATTCACAGAGATAAATGAAACAGAAGAGAACTCAGAAATGGACCACAATATAAAGTATTAGTATTAAGCATACAGAAAAGCTTTTACAAGTCAAGAAGATAACAGAAGAAAAATAGACAAGGTATATAAACAGTAAACTCATATTAGAAATAAAAGTGGTTAACAGATTTATGAGATGTTCAAATTCATTAGTAATAAGGAAATGCAAAATTAAAACAAGACACCAATTCATATCCACCCACATTGGCCTAAATTTAAAGTCTGATGTCACTCAAGTGTTAGTGAAAATGTGAGGACACAGGACCTCCCTGGCACTGCTAAGAGATACTTCAGGGAGGTACTCAGCAATGGCTAGTAATGTTGAAGGTGTGTTTGACTCTACACTCTTCAAAATGTGGTCCATGAACCCCTGTGGGTACCCAGGAACCTTTCAGAAGTCTTTGAGGTCACACTGTTTTTGTGATAGCACTGAGAAGTTATGTGTCTTGTCACCATGTGGACATGTGCACAGAGGGCAGAAGCAGTGGTGGGCATAGCTGTCGATGCCTCAGCACAAGACAAGGCAGGGCCAAACCATGCCAGTGGCCATTTTAATCTTCAATACCACATGAGTGGTTAAAAAGTTTTCACGTAAGCATATCTGCAATAAAGACTTAGAAATTTTTTAACCTTTTTTTCAAACCTTAAAAACGTATCTTCCTAGAATCTGTACAATGTTATGGAAGGAAGTACACAATGAAACATAAACGTTGTCCCAAGGAGAGGCTCTCAGGCCAGTGATTTGTGAACTGGACTGGCTATTTTTTTTCGTGGAAGACCACTTTAAAGTGGGACTGGCAAACCATGGTCATTCAGACTCGGGTGCACATTTTCTAGAAAATGAATGGAGTCTGTTACTTCCAGGAAAAAAAACAGGTAGGTTTTTGCTGCCAATGATAAAATTTGATCTTCAGGAACAAGTTAAAGTTTGGAAGAACCTGCATCTACCCCTGTGAGGTATATTATATACTTTTCTGATGACAATGGTAGTTTCTTTAGTGAATATGATTTTTTTTTAAATATATATTGAAACACCAATGTTTGGAATATTTATGTAATTCAGTGAACAATATTTTCCATAGGATCAATGTAGGGACACTGAAAACTCACATGTTGGTAAAACTCAAAGAACAAGCTACATCAATGGATTTTAATCTAACCGAGTATGAAAAATACATTAACATGATTTCGATATGAAAATATCCACAATTATCTGAAAAGGCTTTAAAAATACTCATTATTTCCCATATATCCAATACTTCTGTGAAGGATTTTTTTTCACATTTTCTAACCAAAACAATATACCATAATAGATTGAAAGCAGAAACAGATGTGAGAACCCATTTGTCTTCTATTAAGACATTTAAAGAGATGTACAAAAATATAAAACAATGCTTTTCTTCTCACCAGCTTCATTATTTTAGAAAATAATTATTTTTCATTCAAAATATGTAATTTAGGTAACAAGTAATGGGCTTATTATTGTTATGGTGCAATTAAATGAAATAATATTAAAATTTTTGTTTTAATTTTGAATATAATAAATATCTGTAGATATATTCACAATAAAAGCTCCTTGGCTGAGCTTATTATACTAAATTCAACCAATAATTGTACCTAATTTGTGAACTGAAATGGCCAGTAATTCTTTTTTTATTGGCAAAGAAAATCAACTTTATTCTATGATAGGGATCACATAATGAAACAGAATCTTGTCCAGTGTTGCCAATAGTAGTATCATGAGGCTTGCTTAAATGATTTTAACTTCACAGAGAGATTTCAAAGCCAAGAAAGAAGTTTAGCTTGAGTTCCATTTGGAAAACATGTTACTGGTAATTTTGAGAACCATGTCTTTGCTAAAGTGAAGTTCCCAGGTATACATCAGAGGATGTCTAAATCAAACTGAAAGACAGTACTTTAAGTAGTGAAATCAGCTGCTGCATAGAATATGGCAGCTGAAGTTCTTACACTACCATTTTCCTCCCAGCAGTGCCTGAGAGGCTTTTATAAAGGTCATCTGGTTTGAATTTAATCATATTTAAATTGATAGTTCATTCTGTGGGTGGACATTTCACCAGAAAAAATCCGATCACCAATTCATGTGGTGAGATTTGATGGTTGAACTTAGGACAATAAGCTCTTATTCTGTGGCTGGCCTAGGCTTTTGTAATGAGATGACTATACACTGTATCTTGGTAACACCCAAAAAGATGACCTTTTTTTTTTTTTGCAGACTAGATAATCATATAATTCTTTTTCTACATACCACACCAATTTTATTTTTACTTTTTTTGCATTATTTTCTTAACAGTTGTTTACAAATTGAATTTTTTAGAAATCAAATACATATCCAGTAAACTTTATCTTCCTAATAATTAAACATCACTAGCCAGGGACTCTAGTCATCTAAGTTTTTAATTTCTATTTCTTGGTTCTTTTTGTCAATTGATTTAAAATAATCACATAAGTATTCTGGCCAGGTTTACTGTTTAAAGGAAACCTGCAAGGAATTATTTAAAAAGTTCAGGTTTTAAGATGACATTTGTATTGCATCAGAGCCCTTTTACGAGCAGTGATTGTCACTGCAAATACAAGAGAAACAAGGAGTACTGGGGCCCCAATAATTCTTAAGAAAGTAAAGAAGCCCTGAGATCAAAGCTTTGAAAACGGTTGCCCTGAACACACTTATACAAATGCTTTAAGCTCTGCATACAAAGATGTCCACTCTAGCAAGACTACTTAGCTGATCTCCAGAGGTGTCCTATGTATTGACCCTGCCTGCTCCAACCTCTACTGCCCTGGCTGCGCTGTCATCTTAACATTCTGAATATGCCAAAAAGACACTTCTGGCTCACCGCTCACAAAGGGATGGTGGATGGAAACTGTTACAGTAGCGTCTAACTGGCCCCCTCACTCTTTTCCTTCCTCCAGGTACTTACCAGATTAAATCCCAACTTTTCCACCCAACTCCAATTCAACAAAGAATATCCAGCTGAAATATCACTGAACAACCTTTCCAGGCTTAAAAAAAATTTTTGTAAAAGCCTTATTTTAAATTCACCTAATTGGTAATCAGAAAACCTAAACTGTTCTTTTTTTCCCTCCTTCCTTTGAACAAGAACTTAGTTAAGTGGTTGAAATATGCTATATCAACCAAGGGTAGTTCAGTTCCAATCAGTTTGCAAAATCAAAGGAATATTAAACTTTGGGACAATTTCACCTCAGAAAAGGTCATTCAAGTTGGCCTTTTCAAAACCAAGAAAAGCAACTAATCCTCACAGTAACAGCAGAAAAATATCCTGATTTCCCATAAATAAGTAGTAAAAGTATATTCTTATCCAGCACCAGAAATTCTAAGAAGGAAATCTGGTTCTCTCAGTATAAGCAGAAATGTGGCATAGAAACAAATAAGTCACGGAGGAAGGAGATGGGCACTCTGTGATCTTTCTGGAAAATAAATTCAATTGCACACTATTTTCATACTTCACTGCATTTTCTTATCGCCTTCTCTTTACCTCCACTACAAACGTGTCGATAATGTGCTCCTGGGGGAGGAACCAGTGGGCAACTTCCTCTTCGTCCATCACTGGGGCTAGGTGAAACTGCTTCAGGTAACTGTTAGTTAATTCTCGAACTGCTTTGACATCTCTTGGTTCCATCGGTCTCAAGCCTGATGTCTTCGTGACCTTGTTGGAGTGAGAATAAAACAAATGGGTAAGTTTAACTATAAAAGGAATACAATTTTTGTGCTAAAGTGTGATCGGAGACCAGCACTATGGTCAGAACTCATACCTTCCAATTCAGAATGTGCAGTTTAACAAGAATCCTGGGTGATGTATATATACATTAAACTTGGAGAAGCCCCGGGTCAGAACATAAGCTAGACAGTGAACTGTATCTTCTCATCTGTGTGTGCCAGGGCTTGCGTCAGTATTGCTATGACCCCAAACAAAGTCAAAGGGAACACTCCAAATCGATCTCTGTACTAAGGCCAAGAATTTTAACAGCAGGACTATCTCAGCACACATTCTGGAATATTATGTTTTAAAACTGCCTTGTCTGACATTTTGAAAACAGTGGAGAAACCTATTTTATTCAACAGCCCATGAAATGAATGCAGTTATTTTGTTCTCATAAGCAACAGAAATAAAAGGAAAGAACATCATATTGGTCAGAATGAAAAGGCAGGCATGTCGCTGGCCAAGTGTTTCTAAAGGTTACTGCTAACCACTGGTCCTGGCCTCTCATTCCACTTTTTTCAGTAAAAGGTGATCAGGATAGGCATTTGATTCCATTACTCCAGAGCATCACAATTTTTATTATTAGACCAGAGGAATTAAAAAAAAAAAAATGCTACAGGTCAGGACAGGTCCCCTGTCTTTACAGCGGCTCCAGATGTCACTTAGCTTTCTTTTCTTTTTTTTTTTTTTTAAGATTTATTTATTTATTTATACAAGCACTGGGTACAGTCAGAAGTGTGGGAGGGTGAGAGAATTCACCAGAGCCAGAGCAGGAAACAGAACAGGCAGGCAGATGAAGTACACTGCTGAGGGGAGCAGAGGGCGACAGGAGAGGTCTGGGCGCCATGTGGGGCCCCTGCCTGGGGGCCGGGGATCGAACTGGCGCTGCAGAGGCTGCAGGCAGCTTTGCAACCCAGTGCTCAACCGCTGCGTCATGGGGGAGGCCTGTCACTTAGCTTTCTAAAACTATGCAGATACCAGAGCACTTGAGCCCAGAAGTGAGAAAGCCCAAATATTTCCTTTGTACAAATAAAAAGTTAGAAATACAATTTTTCTTTTCTTGTTTTTTTTTTAAATAATAGATAAATTTTAAGTGATAAACAACTTGTATATAAATATTGCTACCTACCATTTCTGTGCTAAATTATTTCTAAGCATTTTACAATTAGAAAGTATCTGTAAAATTAGATCATTAAAATTCCTGCATGTCCCACACTAGCAGTATGGTAGATGCCCGAGGCAGAAAATAAGTTTTCATCTTGAGTTCTGGCTCTGATTGATGTTAGGAGTTGTGCTGAGTTTTCTAAGGCTCAGTGACAAAGACTACTGATTGATTTTTCATTAGTGAGGGGGAGGAGGTGGGAGATGTGTTCTTTGTATTTACAGATCCAAGAATCCTTCGCTGAGTATTTACTAATGCTATTCATTTACAATTTATGTAATTTATAGCATAATAGTGTATCTGTAGTTTATTCTAAATGGAAAGAATTTAAGCTCTTAACATTTATTTTATTTTTTTAAAAGATTTATTTATTTATGCACGCAAGAACTGGGGTACAGGCCAGAGGTGTGGAGGATGAGAGGATTCACCAGAAACAGAGTGGGGAACAGAACAGGCAGATGGACCGAAAGCACTGCTGAAGGGAGCAGCAGGCGAGTCAGAAGAGGTCTGCTGCGCCATGTGGGTAGCTCCCTGCCTGGGGATCGAACTCGTGATACAGTGGCTGTGGATAGCTTCATAGGTTGCATCTTAACCCCTTGTGCCACCAGGGAGGCCCTCTCTTAACATTTAATAGAGAACTCAAACTTACATTTTATCTGTGAATCTCAAAGTCAAAGAGAAGTCTTCCAGTCCCAGCTTCCAGCCAACCATGGCCTCAATATGTGGTAAGTAAATGACTGAATTCCTTTGTTTTGTACCTCTACCATTTTACCCAATAAGGTAGAGGTTGAGACATGGTCAATGTCAGGTCAGCTTTGAAGAGGGGGCACTTCTATGGCCTGGCATTTATATGCAAAGTAGGTGTGAAACTATACACACACACATACACACGTGTATCATTAAAATTATGTGTGTGTATATATGTATGTATAGTTTCCCTCCAAATCAATTTTAACATTTGGTAGCATTTCTATACTATAATTCATGAGAAGGGAAAGCCTATGTGATTTCCATTGAAATAAATATACATTTCTAAATGTTAGTAGGAAGTCCAAAACTGCCTGGAATGTATACTCCAGTCATTAAAAAAAACTATTTTCTGCTATGAGGATGACCTTGGTAAATCTTAAATAGCCTTTCTCAATATTAGACTGTTTTTTCTTTTGTTACTGTTTCAGTACAAATCAACAACATCAAGCAACTCAATTAATGAAAGCTACAGGACACATGGTATATGTTAAAAGAGAACATTCAGAAATAAAAAGCTTGCCAGCTTCGTTCTAAGCAAAATATTCTTCTGCAGCACAATTCTTATTCATTGAATATTCATATGGCAAAATCACTAAAATCAACATCTTTTGCCCAGCAGACATGCTTAAAGCAGTTCTCAAATATTTTCGTCTAGAATTCTTGGTTTGTTATGTTCTTTAAAATTATTGTGTATTCCCAAAGAGATTTGTTTATGTGGGTTACATCTATTTATATTTACCATACTAGAAATTTTAAAATGGAAGAATATGCAAGTATACATTCCTTATAGCTTCTGGAAAACTTTATACTACACTCATAAGATAATGAAAGTGAAAAATCAAATTTCATCTTTCTATAAAAATAGTGCAGACTTCACAGACCCCTGAAAGAAGCTAGGGTGCTTCCACAGGTCCCTGGACCACACGCTTTGAGAACTGCTATCTTAAAGTCTCTGAAGGTCAGAATTAAGGGTAGTGGAATTCAGATAGAGAAAACTTAGTAAAACAGTCTCCCTGGGCAGACAGGCAGGGAGAAAAATATATAAGCTTGTCAATTTATAAGCACATCAAACAAACTTACAGAAACACTAAAGCAGAAGAGAAAATCAGACTAAATTAGCTATAAAAAATATGAGGTTTTCAGGGGCCTCCCTGGTGGCGCAGGGGTTAAGATGCAACCTATGGAGCTATCTGCAGCCACTGCAGCACGAGTTGGATCCCTGGGCAGGGAGTTACTCACATGGCGCAGCAGACCTCTCCTGCCTCGCCCGCTGCTCCCCTCAGCAGTGTGTTTCAGTCAATCTGCCTGTTCTGTTTCCCACTCTGTCTTTGGCGAATCCTTTCATCCCCCACACCTCTGACCTGTACCCCAGTTCTTGTATGCATAAACAAATAAACCTTTAAAAAAATGAGGTTTTTTCCCCTCTAGAAAACTGGAAGAATATTTTTAACAATGGCTTCTATAGATCTCAAAGCCTACATTTGCCTGTTTCTAACATCAGAAGCACGTACATTCCCAAAAGAAATCTACAGGACATGAAATAATTTTTAAAATGTAAAATCAGCACTCAATCGATAGCTGTTGTCTTCAGGAAGAGTCAGGAAGAACACTAGGGCCTAGATAAAAATGGCAAGTTTTGGCAAAATCAGGAAGACAGTAGAAGTGGCAGTATTTTCTGAAAGCTCAAGAAAAAAAAATTACCATAACTGAGAATAGGCACATTCTGTACTCCATCAGAAATGCTTTCCCACGGCTCAACTACTATGCACTAATTAGACTCTATACATTGTAATCTGTGTAAAATCTGCTTACACCGTGCCTGAGAAAATAAGACCTAGACTTCTATTAACGAATAGAAGCAGTGTTGACCTGTGCCAAGCTATGCGACACGAACTGTTCTAGAGCCAAAACTCCAGAGTAGAGCTGCAGATAATAATTAAAATTATTTATCTGATTCAAAAAGGAACGTCATGCTACCATACACTAAGAAAAAATCATCACTGCTGCTAAATCTAGAACATCTGTGTCTCAGGGTGTCTCAGCAAGCTGACCCTTCTTACACGGTGGAAAGAAAATGCAAGGTTAGTCTTTTTTATCTACTTCAAAATCCTTCACCTTGGAGCGTACTGACAGCAAGAAAATTACAGCTTTGGAAATGTTCAACAAAAACTAAAACAAACCGACATTTAAAGGGTATATATATGTCACTACTGGGAAAATGTCAGTATGTTAGCTAACAGAAGCTAAAGGTATGGGCTCCGGGATGGTTCTGTCCTAAATGGAAGACTCCAGGCAAATCAGATGTCCTCTTCTGTGAAACAGAAGCAACCTGCCCTCCCAGGGAGCAGGAATCATACCTGAAGCTATGGATGTGCTTGTCTAGCAGAACGCTAACTCGCTCAACGTTAACTCTGATAGTCAGAAGTCTGTGAAGACCTGAAGCAGTAACAGTAGTGACGAATCAGAAAATGAGGTCAATCTATTCGGTAAAAGTTACATTCAACAAGGTTCTTTTTATGCTTCCTGGTACAAAATGTTCTTAAATGAGGCAACCGCTCGCCATGAGCGAGAAGTGCCCATGTGAGCTTTGGTGAGAGGCGGCGGCCTGGCAAGCGCTGCCTTGTCCGGCTTCTAAGGACACACCTTCTAAATCTCTGACAGGGGACTTTCATTTTTCCTACAGTCACTCTTTTTAATTTCATTTTGATTTACTCTTCATCTTTCTTTCCCTGTGAGTCATCTTTGAGCCTCTTCCTGTCTTAGCCTGCGTTCTAATCACTGTCAAGCGAGACATCAATCAGTAGTGCTGTGCTGTACCCACAGGGGCTGTGTTAATTGTGGTGGCAGAAGCAAAGGATCGAACAGGCCTGCCCAGGTCCTCCACTTTTGAATGCCAGTCTCTTGTCCACATGTCAGCCTGCATAAGATTGTTTATTTTCTCAGGAAGAAAAAAAAAGGCATTAAGAAGGGAGGAGGGAGCAGGATCAAAACAAGGGGGGGTTGGAAATTGTATGGGGACTATAACCAAGATGAAAATGCATACATTGTGCAAAAATGAAAAATGATGTAAAAAATATATAAAACTAAAAAAATAATAAAAACATTAAAAAGAGGTTTGAGCAGAAAAAAAAAAGTCCCAACTTCAAAAGGTTGTTGTGAATCTATTTTGAATGATAATTATGAAAGCTCTGTAACATCCCAATTTAGTGGGGTCAGGGAGAGGCAGTCATCACAACAACATGGCTGGAACTTTGTTATCTATGAGTTCATTGGTTCTTGTATGAAAATAGAAAGGATAAAGTCTAGGAAAAACAACTTTCAGCACTTTAACCTGTAATCATTGAGTAAACCAATGAGAGGCACTAAAACTACTTATTCTTCATTCCATTTTAGGCAACCTACATATAACAGGTAGTTTCCTTATACACAATTTAGAGATCTTTAGGATCAAAAAAACTGAAATTTGGGGCCATCAAAGTACTGGGTTGTTGGGAAAGTCATGACATATTAAAACAGAAAAAAATGCATCATGACTTTTCCAATAACAATAAAATAACATTGGCCGCTAGTGAAAAAAGTAGGCACCATTCAAGTTATTTAAACTCACATATAACAAAGTATTTTGCAATTAGCAAGGAGGACCCTGACAGTCCATAGTGCGTGCAAAGGGGGTGTTTCATCTTAGCCTAAAACAGACCCCCTTTTCTCTTTGCCATTTGTGCCTCTGTTCCTTTGAGATGCCCTGATGTTGGCCACTATAAGAAATTGTTTCTAGCTTTAAAAAAATGCTCATCAGAAAATTTTAATTATCATGATGACAAGTGTGACTTCCCTAACATCCTCCTATTTCTCCATTTTAGTCACAGGTTACCTTCACCTCTGTGGGCCCACCTGAGGTCTTGCTCCATCTTCCTCAAGTCACGCAGACCCTTCTTCATCTTGTTGCCTAGAGTCTATATTTTCATCTGCTTTGAGCTACCCTCCTTCTCTCTCCTCGGTCTCACAAAGGGGCAGTGAGTTCAATAGTTCTATTCCCCCAGAGTCTCCAGCAACAGCTAAGACAGAACATGCCTTCTGAAGCTTCTGCCAGCTTGTGAAGCCCAAGAAAGATGATCCTGACATTTCTAATATCTGGTTTCCTTCACCCCACTAATCTCCTTGTTAAATTCAGGCTATGTTCAGAAATTAGTTGATTATTGTCTGTCATCAGGAAAAAGACATCCAATTAGCCACCGATTACAGGTAATAAACATACAACTGCGTGAAGAGGCAAAAGGGACAGGGAAGTGAACCCAGAAAGGCCTACAAGTGGGGTCCCCATCACATTCCAGAGGAACATGTCTACAATCAACAAAAATCCCTCTATCACTTAAAATATTGGGGGGGGGGTGCGGATCTCCACCAGGAATGGACGACTTCAAACTCACATGGCCATGGGCACACTTGAGTTCCTTTTGGACAGTTGGAAAGAGGGGCTCAACTCCTTGCTACCTGTCAGTTGGAGACTGTCTTTAGGTAGACTTTATAAGACCCCAGAAGAAACCAAAACCAAAGATCCCCTCTGTGGTGGACAGGTAAGATAGGTCAGCCAATGGCTACCGCCAGGTGTTCACGGCCTTGGGAGCCTCTCCTCTTGCGTGTGAGTGGATCTGTGACTTGTTTCTAACCAATGAAATATGGCAATGGTGACCAGATCTCACTTTGTGAATTGATTACAAAAAGGTTTTTAATTCCATCTTACAAGCAGATTTGCAGTAGAATTTGCCGTCACTGGCTTTGATCAAACCAGCTGCGATGTTGTAAGCTGCCCCATGGAGAATCCCCAAGGCCAAGTCTAAAGGCAGCCTCTAGCCTCCAAGGAGCCGAGCCCCTATGTCCAAGTGTCCACAAGGTACTCAAGTCTGCCCACAGCATATGAATTGGGAAGAGGGTACATCTCTAGTTGAGTTTCCAGATAAGACCCAGCTGTGGCAGATACCTTGACAGCAACTTCATGGGAGACCTGGAAGCAGAGGCCTCAGTTAAGCCGTGCTTTGATGCCGTCCCACAGCATATGTGCTATTTTCAACAGCTGTGTTTATGCTAACAAAAAACTTTTACATCATCCAAGCTCAAAATAAATCCAAGGCTGGGAAGCACATGTAACCTTTCCCATATTAAAAGACAATTTTTCATATTGGAAATTTACTAGTTAAAAACATATGATAGGGCTTCCCCAGTGGCGCAGCGGTTGAGCGCTGGGTTGCAAAGCTGCCCGCAGCCTCTGCAGCGCCAGTTCGATCCCCGGCTGCTCCCTGGCCACCAGAGGAGGGTCCCACATGGCGCGACAGACCTCTCCTGCCGCCCGCTGCTCCCCTCAGCAGTGTACTTCGGTCCTTCTGCCTGCTCTGCTCCCAGCTCTGGCTCTGGTGAATTCTCTCACCCTCCCGCGCTTCTGACACTACCCAGTGCTCGTATAAATAAATAAATAAATCTTTAAAAAAAAATGATAATTTAATGAGACATTATTTCCTCCCCCAGATCTTTTCTATAAAGATTTCCCCCTTACTTCCACTACTTAAGCTGTCATCAGAAGGCTGACTTTTCTTCTCTCTTCCTTAATAGAACACATACTCAAAATTTCAAAACTTTAAAGTCTTGGGTTCAAGCTCACCCCATCACAAACTAAGTTATCTTAAAAAGCTTTAAAAAAAAATTGGTATTTCCAAATGAGCATCCCAAATTTTCTTACCCCGGAGTCCCATGTAGTCTTATGTAATCCTTCTAGCTACAAATTCACTTCCTCAGACATGAATCAGTTTTTTAAGACTCCTGCAAAAAAATTCTTTTCTACATTAAAAATTTCAGTTGTTATATCTTCAAAAAACTGCAAATCATTCTTACTTACATCTGGAAGTCTGTATAGTTTCATTGTTCTCTGTAAAGTCATATTTCTACTCAAGTGAGAAAATTTCACTTCTACCAATTTTCTGGGATTTAGTGATCGATGCCAATATCTGGAATACAATAAAGATTTAAAGATATGATTGGTTTCTAATTCTACAAGCTTTTACTTCTGGTATCAGTGTACATTAAATGTCATAGAAGCACTCAATGAACACCTACATTGTCCTAGTACAGTGCTGGATGGTCAGCCTCTTTCTAAGCAATTATTTTATCAGTCATTTTGTACCTCTGACATACATCCTGCATTCTGAGTTATGTTCCTTTGTAGTTTGGGACTTTTTATCTCTATCTACAAAGAGGAGTCTTAAAAACAAAAAAGAAATATTCATAGTGCCCAGTTTCCAATTTCCATCAATAACTCCATAGATTGCAAAACAAAAAGTATAAAAACATGAAATCATCCTCCCTAAATGTGGAGGCTTCATGTTTATATAATACACACAAAAGAAAACAACTGAGAAAGAAACTTAAATTTCTTAAGTGGTTCCAGATGAAGTATCAGGATGAATGATTTTTTATATTAAAATATGCCTATGAAGTCATATATCCTATTTATGAATAACTCAGTAGGCAAGAGTAATTTTACAGTTTTACCTTTTACACTATGTTTACCAGAAGTTTCATCTTGCGTTAATAAAAATGGAGGGAAATAAACATTCTGATGCTTTAAAAATAGGTCATTCAAGTGACAATGTGATAAAAAATTTTCTCACTGGATTAACCACTGAAAGCTTGGTGAGAGCAGATGAAGACATCCTAACAGAGTGTCCACCTTCTCATTCTTAGCAAACAATTTTTCAATTGCTGTATATTGAACTTTCGGAACAGTTCCTGAGGTCTAAAAGTAAGCGTTTGGAGAGAAAAGAAAATAGCAGCATTGCCTGATGTTTCAAGCACACAGAGCCTTGGGTTTTTCCAAAGGAGAGATAGCACTTGTCTTTCAAAATGAAGAGAAAAAGAAACATAGAGCCAGCATTATTAGCAGGAAAATGTTAAAAACTTTTATCACCAAGTAGTGTATGACATGCTGGAAAGAATACTGGCTCAGTAGTTCTTGGTTCTAGTCTCCATCTCTGCTACAGAATCAGGGGTAAGACAAAATCCCTCTGAGTTTCACAGGAGGGTAGCCGGCAGTGCGGTTCAACACATTTAATCCAGGTAAAATGTGGTACTATTACCTGCATGTGGCCACTGGCTTAGGAAGGACCACTCCAGCAGTATAAACAGCTTGAAAAATCCCTTCCAGGTTCACCCTTCTGGTTATTTCTCGAATTAACACTGGGGCCACCCGTTTTGATCTCAATTTCTTATGAACACAAAGGAAGTTGATTTCAACCATCTTCTTCACACTAAAAAAGGGGTCAAAAATTAGAGTAAATATGAGATGAGAACATTTCAAAAATTAAGACAACACTCACAAAATCTCAAAGACTAATAAAGTGAAAGACCCCCTTTAACACAGTACTTAAGGAAAACATACTATTATTGAGACATTTCACAAATTCAGATCGATACACTCTTCCCTATAATCCCCTGCCAAAATGATTATAATACTAGGCCATAAAGACACAGCCCTTTGGTTCTAAATAAATTTAAGGATTTTTGTTTTTATTAAGTTTTCAATTGAGAAACTGGATCAGAGGTGCCTCAAAGTTTCTGTATCCATTTTTACCTAGAATATATACAATTAAGGCATTAATTAGGAGTCCCAGATGCAAAATCTGGTAAGATACAATTCTGAGGATCCCTGAAGGTTCCCCCGGACCAGAGCTGATGCTTTTCTGAGCTATATTCAGCCTCTAGAACTTCACAGCCCATTTCCAGCTCTCCTTCCAGAGATGCATGCATTTAATTTGGTAAACAATATGCCCTGAGCTCAAACGTTTTCAGCAGAAAGTAAGCTAACCCAATATAGTGAAATGTTAATAGACCTATTATGCATTAAATCTTTCACTTCCATAGATTGATCTTTAACTTTCTGAGCTGGAGGCCCAGAGCAAAAATGCAACGTATTTATCATAGATACAAACACTTTTACCCCTAAAATTTTTTTATCCTTTCTGAAATAAAGCTAAAATACCTATTTATGAATTTGTTTATTCTGGCACATACATATACATAGGTGTGTGTGTGTACATGCATGAGATTGAGAGACAAAGAGAAAAGTAGATGGATAGAAACAGAGAAAAAGTGAGAGATGGTCTTTTGTTGTTTTTCACCATCCAAGATTTTAAAAAATGAATAATTTTTTTTTTTTGAGGAGTTGTAGGTTCAAAGCCAACGTGGTCAAAAAGCAGAGTCCCATTTAACCCTCACCCTGCCTCTGCCCCACACAACCTCTACCACTATCAACAGTCTGCATTTAGTCATTTTTAAAGGCTATTATAATTACAATTCTTGGAAAAACAACACATTAAATGCAAAATGGACAAGCTTTAATGCGTACCTGTCATAAATCCGAATGTTTGCTGGGATGGCACTTATGAACCCTACTAGTTTTTTGTTTGAAGACACTCTGACCCCACAGTGCCACTGAAGAAGCCAGCCAGGGGGACGCAGAGCCCTGAAGATAATGCAGGCAGAGAGAGCAGGTGCCAATTAGTGCCCAAGAAAACAGGAACGCACACAAGGTGAACTTGGAGCCCCCACCCACGGCAGGCCTGACTATGGGGGCTTACCACAACAGGAACTCAGGTGAATAATCAAAGCGGAACATGTTGTCATCATCTTCTACGTAATTCTCATTCAACAAGGTGTATAACTCCTTGAGCTACAAAAAAAAACAAGTGTCCTATCTATGGTGCTCAGAACCAACTCGAGCAATTTTTGTAAATGCAGATGTTGAATTTAAGAGATTGACTCACCACTTCAGCATTGCCCAAATCTAAAGTGTCCCACATAAAACCCTGTGGCAAGGAGTATGGCTCTTGACGCACATTGTCTTTATCTGCTTCAATCGCACCATGGGATGTTATTACTTCATCTAGAGAGAAAAATACAAAAAGATTGAATATTCAATTATAAAGTCTTCTACCATCTAAATTGGTCAGCTATGTGAAAGAGAATCACATTTAGGACCCTCAGGCTTAATATGTTTAAAATATGTAACTATTTCAGTTACCTAAGGAATAAAACAGGGTAGCTTAGCAGTGGTGGAGAATCACTACTATTTCATCAGGAAAGAAAAGAACCTGTTTGTCACCCGATGACAAAGTGGACATCATGAAGTGATCGTGATTTCTCAGTTTCAACTACTAGGTTACACATTAATCATACAGACAGCACCACTGTATACAATTCAGATTTAACAGCACAGTCTTAAAGTGGCTGTCTTTTTACACTGCAACACTATAAACTGAGGATGGAAGACTGCGGTGACCTCTGACCCCTCCCAAAATCTAAAGTTAACTTCAGAAGTGTTTACTCCTCTCCATCTGCACTGCTGGCAGTGCCCCTCAAGTCATCACAGCCTTGAGCAATTTTTCTTATTTCTTCTCCACAGCTTCTCAGCGCTGTTGTAAATCTGAGGCTTTTGACATGACCGCTACCTGCCTGACCATCCTCGCACACCCAGCCCACCCTGGTCCCCAGAGTTCAATCACATGGATCGCCCTCTGCAGGGGGGCTTCCCTCTTCTGTTGAGGCCCTTCCCTGCCCTTGCCATGGCAGGTCCCTGAGTTCTGTCAGCTATAAATGTGTGCACTGCTTCCTCCTACATCTTTCCTGACCAAAGTTTTTTCCTGCCTGGGCTCTGTCCTCTCTCCACACCCCGCACCCCCCCGCCCCCATTTATCATCTGACTTTTCCACTACTGTTTTGCTGTATGTACCTGGCGCCTGGTATTTAATCTGAATGAATGACCCCCATAGGTTCTTACCATCACAGACCAGGTGGAAGTCACAAGGTGTGTTTATTTCTCTAATCCCTGACTTTGTTATTTGCCTCTTATCTCCACTACCAGCTCATCTTCATATGATAGCTTAGGGTTCCTCAAGTCAGTCCAAGTGGCCAGAGTCCTAGCAACTGCTTCACATAGTGCCTTTCCCCACACACCTGGCCACTGCCTTAACTGAGGTGCCTACCAAGTATTCTAGGAATGGTGAATCCTGAAGAATTCAGGGCTAAGGCCAATATGTAGTGAGCACTTAGGCTATCTCCCCAAAGCAGGGCACTGGGGTCAGGTGCACTGGAAGCACCTTCTCCTCCAGGGGCAGTGACCTAAGACCCCCAGAAGCTTGCTAAGGAGTATTCAGAAAACCCATACACTTAGATCCACAGAGTTGTACCTCTTTAGAGCTGATGGCCACTCAACTAATGTTATGTAAAGTTCTATAAATTTATTTTAGTGTCTCCCTCCACTAGCAAATACATTTCTAAAGCCTAAAAGAAAAAAGACCAGATAACTTCTTTCTTCCTTCATTCTTGGAAGCTCAGGCTTCTTAAACTACTTGGGGTGGCCATGGGTTGGAGAGAGTGGTAGCTTTAATGACGTTTGAAAGGCATTATGGGAAGGCACAAAGATTGACTGTTGCTGATTTATATTTCTTAAAGTTATTTGTACATAGCTGGCTATTAAGAGTTTTAGCTGGCAAATGATCCTTTATATACTATATTGATTCTGGAACCTAAACAATCACGAAAGAAAAACATGGAAATAATATAAACATAAAACACAGTAACAGGTTTAGATTGTAATATATTTTTAAACACTTTGTGGTATCTAGAACATTTTTTCCCATAACATGAAGGAAAAACCATATATGATATTTGTAGACACTTAAGTGATAAAAGTCTAAGTAAAATAGAACAGGTAAATCACTGAAGAAAGAGGTCTAGTTATCAAAATTCTTACATTATGCCAAGTCCTGACAACAAAGGCTTTCCCAGTATGTTCCAACTCCCTATTACACTGGAACATTCCTGCACTGGTAATAATTAACACCATTGTGAGTGTCAGAATCTACTGTTGCACAAAATATTTTCCATTTCAGTAAGATTTTAACAGGGCAAATGCTATGTCTTTCAGAATAACTGAGATGTGAAAATGCTAAAAATGTATAAATAGAAAAAACTCCATAAAGTACAGCACCAAAAAGTAGGGGCTAGGGGACATGTTCTTTTTTTATATCAATGATATTTTTAATATACTAATATTAAAATAGGAAAACAGGATTTTAAAAATAGGGATAGGAATTAGTCTAAAAAAAAATCACTGAAAGCCAACATTATCGCCTAATATTTATATTTTAAGAAGAAAAATACTACTTTTCTGTTAATTTGTAATCTGTGGTATGAAATAACTTACATAAGTGAAGTAGTCCCTTTGGGGCTTTTTGTTTGCTGTTAATCTAGCTTTGGTTTTCTGGAAGGGGAATGGGTGAGCAGAAAAGCTTACTTAGTTTGGGTACCGGCTGTGTATCCCAAAACTGGTATCTGTGTTTGGCAGCCTCATCAATGTTCCTGGCGGGGCCCTGGCATGCGGATAACAGCTCCATTGCTCTCTGGATATCCTGCAACTTCTGCATTGGAAAGGTGGGATTCTATAACAGCAAAGACACAGAGACACAAAAGATGAGGAAGTCGCCACTGCTTCAACACCTGGAGCAGGTACAAGTGTATCTGCCTAGGAGACTACAACATGGAAAAAATTAACCACCCTCCTGTAAGCTGGCCAGCACCTTGGACTTGGATATGCTCATGTATATATAAATGTATATATATAAAGATAACAACTATTCTACAGTTTGAATGGGGGCACTGACAGTTTGGGAAATTTAAAGTAAATCCAAATACCCTTGGCTTTATTTTCCCACCCATCTGCAAACAGCCCTCACCTGATCACTGTCTGGGTGAAAAGGCAACCCCCAGTAACATGCAAAGCGCGCATTCTATCACACAGCAGCCAGCGAGCCACCAGCCGTGGTGTCACTATCAGGGGGAAGCTCTGCAGTAGCAATGGGAAGGTGAAGGGGGGAATTGGGGGGGGGGGAGCAAAAGAAATAACCTCCAGAATGGAAACTAGGTAGATAAGGGAAATTTTAGTTCCTAAACAACAACACACACACAAAGAAAGAAAGCTGTGCTTAGTGCTGAACTGGGAAGGAAGTTAGTCAAGAAAGGAAACCTGAAAAGAGGCCTCACCTTGCCCCCCAGCTCAGGCTCCTCCAGAGACAAGCCTTCCAAGGACAGGGGTGAGCAGGCCCCATCAATCAGGTCCTTGGTAACCAGAGCCTGTTCTCCTCAAAACATATTGGAAACTAACTTCCTTTTTATGTAAAACATAGTTTCAGTCTATAAAATTAACAACAGCTTTAAATTCTGAAGTTTTCCCCTCAAAACCAACATTTTTGTCATCAATAAAGATTCCTCAGCTTAAAAAAAAATTCCTCCAGCAGCAAAATAATACACTGAACACGAGACTATACTTGAAATGGGAGAGGAATATGTATGTCTGAATATGGAAATCAGTGTGTCTTCTCAATATGTGAAATAATCAATTCGTTTCATAATTTTTTTTAAGATTTATTTATTCATGCATACAAGAACAGGGGCACAGGCCAGATGTGTGGGAGGGTGAGAGGATTCACCAGAGATAGAGAGGGGAGCAGAACAGGCAGACTGACTGAAATACACTGCTGAGGGGAGCAGCAGGAGAGACAGGCGAGGTCTGCCACGCCATGTGGGTATCTCCCTGGCCAGCAGGGATCGAATCCACACTGCAGAGGCTGCAGAGAGTTTTACAGCTCTGTGCTCAACCGCCTGCACCACCATGGAAGCCCTCATTTCATAATTTTGATGCCACATAGAGCATGTGCCTCACTGTAGTATAGAGTTGGCTAGGAGGAATTTCAGAGCCCTTGGGTTTCCTGTAAGTCAACACACCAGGGACCCTCGATGATTTATAAACAGCAGCTCTGGACTTCAGTTCAACTTTAAATCTGAAGTCTGTGGTCTGGAGCAGATTCTTGAACCTGGAAGCTTGCCCATTTGACCCAGTACAAAACAGAGTTTGTTGGTAGTTTGTTTATTGGCTTGTCTTTTGATTTTTATAAAGATTAGAAGAAGCACAAAGCAATGACTGCAGCTTCTACAATATAATGAGTTTGACAGCTTCCCCCTTGATCAAGAAAACAGGATTTATTTCATAGAGAATGTCCTGTGATTCTTTACTCACTAGATTTCCTTAGGGTTCTTGCCACTAACATGATTCAAGGAAATCAAGTGCTGGACTCTAAGGGACGCAGGTTGAAGTCTCACTGTCTCCATGGACGAGTCTAGCAGTCCTGACTACACAGTACTGCCGCCATGGGAACTGCTTAGCTTATATTTGAATTAAGGTCTAAATCTTAAGGGTCAAATCTCACTTATACATATTAACTCAACAAGCTACTTTTGCTGTTATCGCACAGTACTTTTTTTTAGATTTCTCTTGTTCGATCTCCACTAAAAAAGTAACTGATTTTAGTAAAATGAAATTTATGACCATCTCAATATCCAACAACACACTCTATTAGGAAACCTACATCTTAAATGGGATTTGCTCAGCATATTTCAACAATAAGGCTTGAACGTGTCTCTATTTGTCTTTAAAAAGGCAAAAGAGAACCCAGCCTCACAAAAATACACCTACAGCATCTGCACTGAATTTGTCATGGTAATTCTCCTTTTCTGACCCTTGAGTTAGATCCTCTAATACTATTATACCAAACACAGACTGTTTTGCAACAAACATGAATCAGCATCTTTGCTCCAAAGGAGCCAATGATTCCAATTCCAAGAAGTGGACTTAGTGTGGTTTCTACCCCACTGAGCTAGCCTCACTAGGCTGGCCAGCATTCATGAACGACCATTCATGAAATATTTATATCCCAATGCTCGCTATTTAAACGCTTTCTTAAAGTAAATTTAAGTAAGCACAAGGTTGGAGTTCATGGTGACAAGTCACAAGGAAAACTCAGTTATGATAAATCCTTAAACCTATCCATTCACCTTCCGAAGTGACACCAGCTGAGGAGAAATGAATTAGTGTTAGGCAAGGTGAGAATGTATATCAACCCTGCATTAGTTTCCCACTTCTATATTCCTATAACAGTCCCCCACATTTGCTTAATGGGGAATATTAACAATTGTACTCTCTACCCATTATTTTCCAATGTTAATAGCCTGGAAAAAAAAAAAAAAAGTCCACGTCCTCTACCACTAAGAAGTCTACAAGAATCCAGACAAATGTTTTATTTTGGTTCTTGAGTCTATGCCAGAATATTCTCTAAACACAGTTCACTATAATTTATGATGTTATCTAGAGCTGGAATCAGCTTAAGGGAAAGATGCTTTAGTTTTAAAAAATACAATGGAGAAAAGCCCACATTAAAACAATTTTGACCCGCTCTTAATTTAGAAAGAAAAGAGCTTCTCTACCACATAATGCTAATTGTGTCTCCCGCCCTGGTTGTTCCTACAGTCTTCTAAGTGACCAGAGGCAGGGGAAGGACTCAAGGTCATGAAGGGTGTAGAGATGGGGTGAAGCTGATGGTGATGACAGAAGCACAGGAAATGGCCACAACTGCATATAAGTAACACCGCATTTATCTGATGGAGCAACATTAAAAAATGGAAAATTATCTTGCAAGCTGATGGGGCACCTTATATGCGTTACCTTAGAAATTACATCTGGTGGATAAAATATTACCTGAGAACCAAGCTGAAAAGCTAGGGAGGAAAGCTCCCTTTTCTTCTCACCCCACAAAGGTAGTTGGGGGGAAAATTGGGGCAAGTAATTTTCCTTCTCAGTGATTCCTGGTCCTTACATGTTAAATAGGTAACACCACCACCACTACCTACAAGACTTAATTCATGACAGTGTAAACTGTGTACAGGAAAAAAATTAAACCCCACAAAACTTGCATAATGGTAATAACTACCATGTGTACCGTGCCTTAAATGTAAAAGTAATTTAATAAAATGATCTAATTGCAACCTCCTAACAGTCCTGTAAGCTCATGAAAAGGGATCATCATGTCCTTTTTGCAGATGAGGATGGGCTGAGGGCAGAACCTGGTGCAAAGACACAGAGCTTGAGAGCCACGGAGCCAGGATGGGCTGGGGCGAGTTCTTCCCATCATACCACAGGACAACTTACTCGGAGCTACAACTTTCAAGACAATTTCTTCCCTTAAAATTCTAATTCCATCTTGCCCTGTGCGCTGTGAGGGTTTTGTTTTGTTGTGTTTTTGCATCAAGAAGGCTCTGTGCTTCCCTGAGCAGCAGAAAAAGACTGCTCATAGCCAGGGGCCCTGGGGCTGGCCCCCCAGAGAGCGACGCCTGCCATCTGCACCACTGACCACACAGCAGGCTGGCCATCCGCCAACACAGGGCCCAGCCGCACAGCTTGTGGTTTGCTTTAAAGCGGGTGTTTCTTCAGGAGGAGTGTCAGGAGCTATTTCCCACCCTTGGCAATGGATTTAAGAATGGCCACTGAAGACTGGTCTGATTCAAAGTCAACATAAGACTTACCCGTGACTGCTCCCGCTGAAATCTGCTGCCAGATGGTGTTGTGCTATTCAGGTAATTAGACAGACACCCAGAAAAATTAAAATGTGAATATCTTCTGAACTAAAAGTAATCAAATATTAAGTGTAACTTAAAAAAAAAAGCAAAAAAATAACAACCTCCTAAGAAACTCACATTGAGGCTTTCTTCTACAACTACAATCTAAATACTAATTCAAAACTGAGAGAGGGGGAAAATACAGGCAGAATCCACATCCACACAAAAGCACGGTATGTACCTCTAAGTTATCTGGGTGCCACAGCCAGTTTAGGGAGGCTGTAATAACCTCGTTACTAGTGCCACTCGGTATGGTCACAACAGAACCCTAACTACCTTGGGATTCAACAGAACTAAACTCACAAACCCGCTCTCTCGTGCAGGGGGACCACAGAGGTTAAATAACACAGGGCTCTCACTTTTGAAGGCTGCTGAATTTTAATCTCCTGGGAGTCAGATGCTGAGTCTGACTTGGTGCCTCCGGAATTTGGTTTCTCCTTTTTTCTCTTCTGTTTCTTCTTTTTCTTTTTGGCACCCAAATCCCCTCCAGGACTTCTGTTAGGAAATTCACAGAAGGTAAAACAACAAAAAGTCATCATGCAAAATTTGAATTGAATAAAGCCAATCAATTAGAAAAACACTGTAGAAAGAAGAAAAAACCATCAGGATATAAATGGGAGGTAAAATTCAGTAAGATTAGGAAGTTAACAGGACAAGTAATTTGGAAGAATATTAGTTGACAATCATCACAGGTGCTTAGAAGTCATTTAAGCAAGAAAATTGTAGCTATAAACCATATTTTATAACAGAAGTGAAACAGCTCCCTATTGGAGCTGTTGGAATTGGAATTCACTATTGGAATTCACTATTCCAATAATCTACTTTTTAGTGAGCCTCTTATTAGAGACGCATGCTATAAAAATTTCCATTTATAAACATCTCTTGGGTACAACAAACCATTAATCTTGATACAGCTGAACCAAAGAAACTCTTTCTCTGCAGAGGGGGATATTTTTCCCGAGGAAGATTTTTTACTAGAAGAATTAACAATAAAAAACCCTCTACATTAAAAAAAGGCCAAAACATTAATTGACAGAACATTTCTGCTCGAAACTCTTGTCATCTTAGGGCTGTCAATTTCTGAAAGTACAAATGAAACATGAGGAGATCTCACATCTGCATTTATTCGGGCCCATTCCTCTGTATTCCCAGAAGGTAAATTAAAATCTAGAGTCAGAGATTATGGCATTATTGTTAGATGTAAGGAAAAATGATGAAGCTATCAGCTCCATTCTATTGTTCTCAATCAGTCCTATTTGTCCCTACCTACTTTCTTGAATTTTTACCTAATTAAAAAAAAATAATAAAATAAGACTCAAATGTTATTAATATATATTGACAACCCTATAACATTGTCTTTTAAAGGCAACAAGCAGTTTTCCTGGCATATATTCTACCAAAACTCTCTTTCTTCTCTAAGCATGCCCTCATTTTTTACTATAAATTTACATAAAAATTGAATTTCAAACATACCATTCTGAAACTTATTTTTTGTTCCCTTCCACTTACAATTCACCTTGGATGTCTTTCCATGTCAGGATAAACCAAACTATGTCTTTTTCTTTTCAGCAACTGGAGAGCACTCCCTTGGGCAGACACATCATTTTTATTTAACTATTTCTGTATTAAAAATGTTGCTATAAAAGCAATATTCTGATATATCATTGTGCATTCATACAGGTGTGTCCAAAGTTGAAATGCTAGGTCAAAAGGCATGCACATTTTCTGGTCTCAATAAATAATTCTGAGTGTTTTATTAAAAACTATATCAAGTCCCACTCTACCAAAGATAAATCTGACAGTTTCTGGTTCTGCATACAAGCAGCTTGGAGGTTACCACTCTACTCCAACAAGAAGTAAAAAGCTGAACAGATTGAAAAATGAACAATTCTTCTCGGATCCCGAAAAGAGGTGAGGACATAGGGCAAACTGCTGCCCCTATAAATACAGGGAGCTGAGGTTTCCTGTAGCAGAGACATAAAGAGGAAACCTGAGTGGGAAATCAGAGCCCTCGTTGGAAAGCCTGCACTGTAGTCACTGAACTGCTGCAGGTGCAGTGTGGGCAAGTCTGAGAATTATAAACTCCCAGGGGGATCCTCACATGGTTCTCCCACACTTGTTTTACCTCTAGGAGCTCAACCAGATTCTTACAAGTAAATACTAGAGAATAATCCCATTATTCTTCCAGCTGGGGAAGTCAAAGAGGAATCATTTTGAATTAAGCGAAAAACACTCTGTTCTTCTTAACAAGGTTGTCAAGTTAGTTGTAGCCTTACCTGCTTGAGTATCATCAAAGCATAACAGACCTGGGGAATGAAATACCTAATTCTAGCCAGCTCTAGCTTCCTGTCCCATCTAAGTGGAGAGAAGAAAACTGATTAACACTTGAGAAGTTCATAGTTCAGAGGCATGAGCTCAGTAAAACTATTGGGTCCAGAAAGTTTGAAGCCTCTCTTTCCCCACCCCCCACACACACCTTTCCTATACATAACTAAACATAATAGTTCTGTTTACATGGACTATTATGTCCATTTATCAAGAAAAAATAACAAGGCATACTAAAAGGTCAAAAACACAGTGGTGTAGAAAACAGAGCAAGCATCAGAACTAGCTATAGCAGGAATGTTGAAATTATCAGACCAGGAATTTAAAACAACTGTGATTAACATGCGAAGGCTTCTAAATGGATAAAGGAGACAGCAGGCAAAAACAGATGGGCAATGTAAGTTGAGAGAAGGAAATCCTAAGCAAAAAAACAAAAAGGAAATGATAGAAGATCAAAATCACAGTAATAGAGATGAAGAATGCTTTTGATGCGCTTATTAGTAGGCTGGACACAGTTGAGGAAATCTTTGAGTTTGAGGATATAACATTATCCTGTTAATGAAAACATTAACAGAAACCTCCAAAACTAAAAAGCAAAGACAACAAAGACTGAAAAAAATGAACAGAATATCCAAGGACTGTGAACAACTATAAAAAGTGTAACATCTATATAATGGGAATACCAGAAGGAAAAGAGAGAAGGAACAGAAGAAATATTTGAAACTATAATGACTGAGAATTTCTCCAAGTGTAAGTCAGTATCAGACACTAAACCACAGAACCAAAAAGCTCAGAGAACACCAGGCAGGATTAATACTCAAAAACCTACACCTAGGCTTATCATTTTCAAACTATGGAAAATCAAATATTAAAAAAATAGATAAAGAATCCTGAAACAGAGGGAAAAATACCTTAGAGGAGCAAAGAATAGTAAATAACATCAATGTCGCCACATTTTTGCCAGAAATGAAATATTCTTTTTCATCTCTGACAGGCTTGAAAAAGAAATCTCATTGTACGACAGATTTAATGTTTCTTTAATTAGGGGTGAGGTTATACCTCTTTCCATATGCAACACTGATAATTCATATCCTCCCATAAATTGCTCATTTAGATCCTTTCCCTATTAGTCATTCTTAAAAAAACCTGATTTGTGGGTGCACTTTTATTTTTTTAAACTTAAATATTATTTTTAATAATACATTCATGTGGTATAAGATTCTAAATGTTCAAAAGAATATAATATGAACAGAGGCGGCTCCTCCACTATTCCCCAAGCCCTCCAGTTCTGTTTTCAAGAGGTAATTGGTGTTTTCAGTTATTTTCATATCCTTCTAGACACACTGTAGCTAAAAGCATTTTTAAAACGTCCTCTTCTCTACTTCCTAATTTTTATTGCTAGTATTAACTTACATTTTTATAGTATTTTTAAAAAAAGATTTATTTATTTATGCATACATGAACTGGGGTTCAGGCCAGAGGTGAGGGGGGGTAGGGTGAGAGGATTCACCAGAGTCAGAGTGGGGAACAGAACAGGCAGATTAGCTGAAATACACTGCTGAGGGGAGCTGCGGGCGAGTCAGGCGAGGTCTGCTGCACCATGTGGGTACTCTCTGGCTGACCGGGAATTGAACTCGCGCTGCAGAGGCTGCGGATTTGCTTCATAGTGTGTTGCTTAACCCCATGCACCAGTAGGGAGGCCCTGCTTTTGTTTTTAATTCTGTTGTTATAGGGCTTGAGTCATGTAGGTGGTTTTATCACAGCGAGAACCTATTTTTTATTAAGTATTTTTACTTTGGGCACTTTATTTCCCTTAATTCTAATAAATTATGAGAGATGCTACATTAAGCTTATGTTACACTGCCTACTTTCTCTACATTATTCATATTACAAATACTTTACCAGTTCAGTTTATTTTTAAGCTTTCATCTTTATTCATTGTATCTTTTCCTATACAGACATTTACAATTTTTATGGAGCCTACTATTTAAAATTTTTCTCTTGTGGCTTCTTGGCTTTTAAATCTTGCTTAGAAAAGTTGTCCCTATTCGAGAATTAAATTAATATCCCACTATACATTTTTCTCTATTACTTCTATGGCTTTTGGAAAAAATATTTAGCTTTCTAATTCACTAGGAATAAAATGCGTACACTGTGAAATGCTGTGGCCCTACATAAGAAGAAGTCATAAATATAAGAAAGCACCATTACAACATAACTTGTCATTATAGGATTCACACAGTACAAGCAGATATAATGTGAGGCAGACATGTTCACATATTGGATACAACTACACAGTGAGGTAATTTTCGCTTTTTGCCAGAGCTGCTCCAGGTGCAAGCAGTTTCAAAAGATGTCCACAAATTCTTTGTTACTTCGCCCATTCAAAGATGGGGTCTCCTCCCCTCCCTTTGAATCTGGGAAGGTATGTCACCAAAAGATCACTCAGTTTCCACCTAGCTCATTTTTGATCCTCACTCTGGGGGCAGCCAGGAGCCAGGTAAAGAGTCTGACTGCCCTGAAACCACAGGCTTGGCTGGTAGTGTGCCAACCCCAGGCAGCAGCTGGCAGCGGAGGAGCCCTCAGCTCTGACAAGTCTGCAGATGACTCCAGCCCAAGGCAACATTTGACAGCAACTGCACTTCCAACCTTAGGTGAGAATTTGCCTTTTCCTGACCCACATCACCTGAAAGTATAATAAAGTGACAATTATTTTATGTCACCAGCTTTGTGATGAGCTGTTATACAACAATAAAAACCAGAACAGAAATTTGGTACTGAGAGCGGAGGGCTGCTGTCACAAAAACCCAAAACACGTGTCACTGGCTCTAAGACCAAGTAGAAAGACCCCGAGGAGAATGTTAACAGAAGCCTGATGGCTTAGAGGAAGCTGCTGGTGAGGGCTGGGAGGAAAAGATAGGGAATGTTGTTAGAAATGGAGGGTGCTGGGAAAAGTGGACCTCCACATGCAAAAAAATGAAACTAGACCACTACCTCTCGCCGTGCACAAAAATCAACTCAAAATGGATAAAAGAGCTGGACATAAGACCTGAAACCATAAAATGTATAGAAGAAAATATAGGTAAAACACTACAAGACATACATCTCCAAAACATCTTTAAAGATGCATCACCCAAAGCAGTGATAGTGAAGGCAAAGATAAACACCTG